ACCAAATCTGCCTTATTAGATTCTGTAGCCTCAGTGCCTAGCACCATATCCTTTCATACCTGAAAGCTTTTGTAACCGCTGCCTGATGTCTGGATTCCACAGCCATGGAAAGAATGCATCAGAATCTTGCCTTGATTACCGCCCTTCAGCCCAGTCCTCTCAGGTTTTTCTGACAGGCTTCTTCTGATATTTCCGTAACCAATTTCACTAATATTTCAGGGGATTTCATTGATCCCCTGATTTGATTAGTGATCAAAATGCATACCTCCCTTGGGATGCCTGAGTGGTTCAGTGAGTTGAGCGTCTGACTCTTGATCTCAGCACCATGGGTTCAAGCCCCACGCTGGGCTCTGTGCTGGAGCCTGCTTAAAAAAAAAAAAAAGCACACCTCCCATATCACATAGCAGGTTGTGAGGTTAGAACACAATGTCACTGTATTATTTGATAATTACTAGAAAAGGCCGGTGCTGGGTGCCTGGGAGGCTCAGTCCATTGGGAATCTGCCTTCTGCTCAGGTCGTGATCCCAGGGTCTTCGGATGGAGTCCCATGTCAGGCTCCTTGCTCAGCAGGGAGCCTGCTTCTCCCTCTGCCTGCTGCTCCCCCTGCTTGTGCACTATCTCTCTCTGACAAAATCAAAGGAAGAAAGGAAGGAAAGAAGGAAGGAAGGAAGGAAGGAAGGAAGGGGAAGAAAGGAAGAAATGGAGAGAGAAAGAAGGAAAGGGAAGGAGGGAAAGAAGGAAAGGGAGGGAGGGAGGAAGGAAGGTAGGAAAGAAGGAAGGAAAGGAGGAAGGAAGGGCGGGCAGGCTGGTGCTGTTCTCACCTTGTGTTCTTTCCCTGACGCTCACATACGGACGAGAACCTCTGCCCACCATCGTATTCGGGGTGGTCCAGTGTTGATCCCAAATGGTAGGGGCATTTGAAGGTGCCCAGACTAGTCCCCTCTCAGGGGTCACCTTGACTTAGGTGCACACGTGGGTTGTTTCTAGATGGACGGCACATGTATTTGCTAGAAGCAGGACCGTACAGCCTGCGGGTTGCAAACTGTGAGAAAGGGCACTTTTTTCTTCTTTTCCTCCCCCGCCCCCCTTACCTCCCCGAGCCAGCGCCATCTCTCCTCACCCAAGTACTTGTGACATCCATCACCGCAGAATTTACAAAATCCAGTTCATGGTGATCACCACCACAATTTGGAACCAAACACGCGGGTTGCAAATGTTACTCCCCAGCACAGTGTCGTTCTCATCTCCGGTGAGGAAGGAACACTGAGTGAATTTATTATTAAACTAACTGAGTGTGGAGCTTAAAGCCACATTCCTTGAATGTGTGTGCTCCACCAAATGGGCATTTCCTGCCAGGCATGTGGGCTGGAAAACACGCATGAATCGGTGAATCTAAACAAAGAAGAAATGCTTCTCAAGGTATGCATTTGCCAACTGTTTATTCTCGAGTCATCTCCTCAGGACTGAGAGCATGACATCATGGGTCACAGGTTAGAGCCTGGCACACTTAGCTTCCTAAGGCAAAGACTGAAAATTCGTGGCATCTGTTACAAAGGGGAACAAGCAAAAGGGGCACGACCCCTCTTCATTACTAAAAATAATTAAGTGCAAAAACTAGAGTGTAAAAACATAAGTGGAAGAATATTTCCCAAACTCATCTGTAATCAGGATTGTCTTTGGGAGGCAGGTTTATAAGAAGAAGATAGTCACTTTCTTTTCCCCTTCAAAATATAAAAAATGATTATGCAATACATTTGTATTTTTTTAATTTTTAAATTTTTTTTCTAAAGATTTATTTATTTGACGGAGAGAGAGAGATATCACAAGTAGGCAGAGAGTCAGGCAGAGAGAGGGGGGAAGCAGGTTCCCTGCTGAGCAGAGAGCCCGATGTTGAGTGCCCTCCCAGGACCCTGAGATCATGACCTGAGCCGAATGCAGAGGCTTAACCCACTGAACCACCCAGGCGCCCCTAATTTTTAAATTTTTAAAAAGATTTTTACTCATTCATCTGAGAGAGGGAGAACACGAGTGGGGAGGGCAAGGGGCAGAGACTCTTGACCAACTGAGCCATCCAAGCATCCCCAGGTGGACAGGGGTTACGGATACAATGTTCCTAGACGAAGAGCAATGTTACAATGAGGCTGGTAAAGAAGAACATATATCATGTAACTATTTTCTACCATAAACAAAAAATACACTTGCACACCCTTGGTGTTGATAGAGTGGTCCAACAGAACTTCCTTCAGTGGACTAGGATGTGTACCTGGTGTTGCCCAGTATAGTGGCCACTAGCCGTATGTGGCTAATGAGCACTTGAAATGCAGAATTTAATTTTTAATATATTTGAATTTAAACTTAAATAGCTACATATGGTTAGCGGCTACTGTACTTGGACACACAGCTCTAGAAGATTGCATTTCCTGAGAAGAACAGTGTCAGCAGGGGCAGGGAGAGCAGACCAGATTTGGTAGCTGTGCTGTCTTAGGTAAGTCATGTACTGTTCTGTTGGCTACACAGAAATCACCTGTATGTTCTATTACTGTTCGGGGAATGAAGTCAGAAAGCCTGAATGGCCAAAGCCATCTTGAGAAAGAACAACAAAGCTGGAGGCCTCATACTCCCTGATTTCAGACTATACTACAAAGCTCTGATAATTGAAACAACATGGTATTGGCATAAAAACAGACACATAGATCAATGAAACAGGATAGAGAGCCCAGAAATAAACCCATTTATATATGGTCAATTAATTTATGACAAAGGAGTTAAGAATATACAACAGGGAATAAACCGTGCTGGGAAAATGGGGAGCCGCGTACAAAAGACTGAAACGTGACCACTATCTTTCACCATAAAAGTAGATTAAAGACTTGAGTATAACCATAAAACTCCTAGAAGAAAACTGTTTGGCATAGGTCCTGGCAATGTTTTTTTTAACCTGACACCAAAAGTAAAAGCAACAAAAGCAAAAATAAATGAGACTACATCATATTAAAAAGCTTCTGGGCGCCCCTGGGTGGCTCAGTGGCTAAACGGCTGACTTCAGCTCACGTCGTGATCCCAGGGCGCTCAATCTAGCTCAGTCCTGCTCTGTGGGAAGCCTGCTTCTCCCTCTCCTTCTGCCTGCTGCTCCCCCTGCTTGTGTTCCCCTCTCTTGCTGTGTCTCAGTTAAATAAATAAATAAAATCTTTAAAGGAAAAAAAAAAAGCTTCTGTACAGCAAAGGAAACCAACAAAACGAAAAGGCAAACTTTACTGAATGGGAGAAAATATCTGCAAATCATGTATTTATAAGGGGCTAATATCCAAAATACATAAAGAACTCACCCAACTCAATAGCAAAAACACCCCACAAATAATCAAATTAAAAATGGACATAAGATCTGAGTAGACATTTTTTCAAAGATATGCGGGGGCACCTGGGTGGCTCAGTGGTTTAAGCCTCTGCCTTCCGCTCAGGTCATGATCTCAGGGTCCTGGGATCGAGCCCCAGGTCGGGCTCTCTGCTCAGCAGGGAGCCTGCTTCCTCTTCTCCCTCTGCCTGCCTCTCTGCCTACTTTTGGGTGTTTATCTGAAGAAAATGAAAACACTAACTCAAAAAGATATATGTACTCCCTTGTTCATTGCAGCATTATTTACAATAACCAAGACATGAAAACAACCTGTGTCCCTCGATGGATGGATGAATAAAGAAATTATAGCATGTAGACAAACACACACACACACACACACACACACACGAATATGACTCAACTATAAAAAAGGATGAAATCTTGCCATTTGCAACAACATGGATGGACCTCAAGGGCATTATGCTAAGTGAAACAAACCAGACTGAGAAAGACAATGATTTCTCTTAAACATGAAATCTTAAAAAAAAACACAAAAAAACAAAAAACAAAAAAAAACAAGCTCATTGAAACAGAACAGATTGGTGGTTGCCAGAAGCCCCAAAGAGTGGTGGTGAAGGGGGTAGAAAACAAGAAAAAAAGAACAAAGTGAGAGAAGGTACTTCTTTATACTCTTAAAGGCCACAGTATTTTTTTAAAATATTTTATTTTTTTATTTGACAGACAGAGATCACAAGTAGGCAGAGAGGCAGGCAGAGAGAGAGCCAGGGAAACAGGCTCCTTGCTGAGCAGAGAACCCGATGTGGGGCTCGATCCCAGGACCCTGGGATCATGACCTGAGCTGAAGGCAGAGGCTTTAACCCACTGAGACACCCAGGTGCCCCAAAGGCCACAGTATTAACTTCTCTGCTGGAGAAACTCTCTCCTCCCTCTGCCCCTCCCACTCATGCTTTCTCTGTCTTAAGGGGCGCCCAAGTGGCTCAGTTGGTTAAGCGTCTGCCTTCTTTGGCTCAGATCATGATCCCAGGGTCTTGGGATCGAGCCCCAGGGAGTCTGCTTCTTCTTCTCCCTCTCTCTCAAAGCAATAAATAAAATCTTAAAAAAAAAAAATCTTAGGAAAACAATAGTCATCTCATCTATCCTCATTCATGCCAACTATTTTAAATCTTTTGTACTTTTTCTTATAAACTGTGTCTCCATCGCCCCTTTATTATCTTGCTTTCTGTGTTCTTGAGATTCTATTAAGTCATTAGCCATTCAATATTTAGTTTTCTTATTCTTAACTTCCTTAGTAGAAGTCTAAATAGTAGCGATAACACTGAGAATATCCACAAGATTAGCATATATAATACAAAGCAGATGATCAGCCCCCTAATAGAGTGGACTGAAACTGTAGTCTGATGTAATATACCTACACAATTTGTCAAATTAATGATAAAAGTTAGAGTTGGTTGGGGGTGGAGGGGAGGCAGGTGTCTCAGAGGACCATACTCGTATGGTCAAACTATGGTTAAGATTAAATTATTTTTTTTTTTCTTCCTGGTAGTCACCGTAATTGGTGTATAGTGTGTCTACTGTCAGCTGCTGGCCACTTCCCGGAGAAAGCACAGATTAACAGTAAGCTATGTTTCTCCTCTGTTGCTAATTCTAGCCCAATGCTGGAATCAGAAATTCAATGGTGAAAGCTACAGCCACTGGATGCCACCAAGAGAACTACAGGGGCAACCAGACCTTTTTCCAAGTAGCACTTACAACCCAGTCGACTCTCCTTCCCCTGACTCTGCCCTCAATCCCATTTGCCATCACAAGTACTGGTGGAACCACCCATCTTCTAGTTTGATTTCCGAGGGAAAACAGTTGCTTGGCCTCATGTGTTAGTAACACCAGGGTCTCCTATTGCTTATGCTTGTGTTTGAAAACAAACACCTTGACCAGTCTGTGTCAACTGGCGGTGGTACAAGAAGGCACAGTCCATCTTGGGTTTTTTGTACTATCATAAGAGAAGATAGTGTTATAAAAAATTAACAACAACAACACTGAGAGCCTGAAACCAGTACATAGCAAGAGGAGATTCATTTCTCCCCAGGTAATCTATTATTCGGTCAGAAATGAGGTTGTCTGTAAGTACAGACTCAATGTTATAAATAGATGATCAGAAGCTTGCTTTTATTTTCTGCCCTAAGAAAAATAATCACTCACCCTACAGAGGTGGCTCCAAGTCTTTCTGATAACATTCTAGGACCTGTTTGGCTACTAGAACTGAAAGAACTCTTTTAAAGCTACAGAACCCCTCTCATACCCCCTAAATTGCACACTACAGAGATACATTCTTTAACAAATAATTTCAAAGGGTTCCTTGCATCCTAAAACCCATCCTGGTAACTGGAAATTTAAGAATTCACCCACCACCATGTAGTATTCCAAAAACCTTTACTGCTTCCAATTAATAAAAAATAACAAAATTCTCTATAGGAAATATCAACCCATTCATGCGCCCCCTTTTTTGAAAATACTTTTTTTTTTTTTTTGTTTAAAGCAAGCTCTATGGGATGCCTGGGTGGCTCAGTTGGTTAAGCAGCTGCCTTCAGCTCAGGTCATGATCCCAGCATCCTGGGATCGAGTCCCACATCGGGCTCCTTGCTCGGCAGGGAGCCTGCTTCTCCCTCTGCCTCTGCCTACCATTCTGTCTGCCTGTGCTCGCTCTCTCTCTCTCTCTCATAAATAAATAAAATCTTAAAAAAAAAAAAAAAAGTAAAGCAAGCTCTATAAGGAGCTTGAATTCACAACCCTGAGATCAGGAGTTGCATGCTCGACTGAACCAGCCAGGTGCCCCACATTTTTCTTCTTTTCCAACTTTCTGATTTCTATTAAATCTTTAACCGAAAAGTCTTAGGGTTAAAGAAAATTCATTCAATATATTTAAAACTGTTGCCTGGATCCAGTCTGACTGCATGATCTTCTAACTGTGGAGACATGACAATTAGCAAGAACAATACAGGTTTTTAGAGACCAGTGAGCTTGGGCTGACCAAGCAAGCTATTTGTTGTATAACTACTTTACCTAATTTTTTTGAGCCTCCTTTCTCACCTGTAAAATGAGTATATTACCTGATAGGGAGCTATTTGGAAGACAAACAATAAAATAAAACATCTGACACCGAAAAGGCTGAATTAAGACCTTTAGAGACCCAAATCATCAGGACTCCAGTGCCAGAATCATTAAGATATTGGTGGAAAATAGAGAACACACTTGAACTGCGTAACTTGACTACTTACAAAGACATGGCAAAGTTCAGGCAAACCAACAAGGAATAATGGAGTAATCTAGAGCTAGTAAGGGACCAGTTCTTTCTATCCCTAGATTTGAAGGGGTAAAGTGAAGAAGCTAGAAGCTCAAGAGGGCTGCCTAACTGGCGTCATGGTCTTTGGTAGAGTGACAGACAACTTCTGGGACCTGGGGAATAAATACCCTGACCATTCTTGATATTGAAGGTATTACAAATTGGGTCAATACAACCCAAAGTCAGAGGGCAAGGGAGCCTGTGAATGCAGACAGAACAGGATGGAGAGCAGCTCTGAAGGGGACATGGAAGATCTCCTGCACCACTTCTGCCCCAGCAAAATTCCAGCTACTAAACCACTGAACACAAAACTTGCACATATGCTGAAACTGAAATACCTTCTTTCTAGAACTTTCAGTTACAAACTTTGGAATTTTTTGTTTTTGTTTTAAGCAGGCTCCAAAACCAACATGGGGCTTGAACTCACAACCTAGAGATCAAGAGCCACACGATCTACTGACTGAGCCAGCCCAGTGCCCCTTGAGTTATTATTATTATTATTTTTAAAGATTTATTTATTTGACAGAGAGAGATCACAAGTAGGCAGAGAGGCAGGCAGAGAGAGAGGGGGAAGCAGGCTCCCCGCCGAGCAGAGAGCCCGATGCGGGGCTCGATCCCAGGACCCTGAGATCATGACCGGAGCTGAAGGCAGAGGTTTAACCCACTGAGCCACCCAGGCGCCCCTCCCTTGAGTTATTATTAAAAGCAGATTTCTTTTCTCAGACTTTCTGGTGTCCCTGCTCTGCTGGTGCCTTAAGCACATGCCTAGATGGCCTCTAGCGCAGCTATGAGTGTCGCCCCTAGACAGGAAAGCCTCGATAAACGGGAACTGGTAAGTCTCCAGTTAACTCCTGAATGCTAACTCTAAGGATCTCCACAAGATTTCTGAGCATCCAGAAGGAATTTAGAAAGAATCTTAGGATTTTTCTCTTTAGGTATCACTCATTAAGCAATTCAGAAATTGGATTTTCTTAGGCTCAGAAAATCCTCTGGTTGTAAAACTTCTTATAATCCTAGTGAATGACAGGAAAGTTTATAGTTTCTTATGAAAGAGAATAAAAGAAATCAGGACATCAATTTCACATTGACATTTTTATTAACGCCAACTGTTTTTTAATTATTATTTTTTTAAAACAATAGCACAAAAATGTTTCAAGGAAGCAGTCTCACAATCTGATGACCTTCTGAAATACAGTCAAGCCACACCAAATATGAAATTCCTGTTAATAACACAAAACAAATATTTTTAAAAAGGAAAAATAAAAAGAAGAGGGAAAAGAAAGTAGGAAAAAAGGTAAGGGCAGAGGAAAGCAATGAGATGTAGTTAAAACTCACTGGGTCAGGCAGGTGAGGCTTATTAGTAGAATACACTGTTAAAGCAAAGAGTGGCACACACAGGCTTACGATCTTTGCTGTTCTACCCAGTCACCACTAATACACAGCCCCGGGTGGTGGCCACTGACTTCTTCCACGTCCACGGTGAACCGGGAGAAGGCAGTGTTGATACTGTCATGAAGAGGTTTAACCGTTGGCCTGTTGGACAACTACGAACATTTTGTTTGTTTGTTTTTTAGCAGAATAACTCCTTCAGGATGGTCTGGCTGAAAACCCTTTCTTTTCTATGTGTCACCTATATGCATCTCAGGGCTCTTAAAAGTTGTCTTAAAAAAGAAAGAAAAAAAATAATGTATATCAGTTTCTCTTATTTAATGTGGCTATAAAAGATGTTTCCTTATTATTTCTTTATCTCTAAGAAGGACACCGGGGATGAAGGTTGGGGGTAGAACTAAGAGGAAGAAAAAACCCAGACCAGGTTAGGTTTGGTGGTTTTTTTTATACTTTTTTTTTTTTTTTCCTTTTGGCCAGGGGTGGGGTCACACAGAAGGGAAGGCATGGAGGAAAATTATGATCCTTGGTTTAGATTGAGTTATGCAGGAAAATATATCTTCCCGATCAGTCCCCATGCCAAAAAAACCCAAAAAACAAAACAAAAACAAAAAAACCCAAAACAAACCAAACAAAAAAAGCCTAACAAACCCAAAAAAACCAAAAAAACACTTGGAATTATGCACAGATTCTATGTTATACCAGCTATCAGCCTTTCACGTTTAACCATTCCCAGCAATGGACACTACCCTCGGCTTGTAGGCTGCTTGCAGAACCCACTTCACAAAAAATCTTCTTCCCCCAGAAGCCTCTAGTTTCCTTTTGGTAGGTTATAAAAACAGAACATCTGTCATTAAGAGGAGAGTGTTAAATACTTTTAACCACTGACAAGGCTTCAGGAAGTTTCACAGTTTCGTTATGCTCTATTTTATTACTATCATATTTACATTTTTATTTTTTATTTTTATTTTTTTATTTTTTTGCTGAATTGCTGATTTTCCTTTTTCAATAGAATTTAATTCTGGAGTGTGAGCAGGAACCAGTTAACTACATTCATTGTCCAACCCCCACTGGTTTGAAAGAAGACTCCAAATTCTCTGCATGTGAATCAGCTGTTCAGTAGCCCCACCTCCCCCCGCCCCCCCACAGCCAAGCAGCAGGACCGCAGCAGCGGTGGCGCGCTGGGCTCACGCTGTAGGGGGCGAGGACTTTCGCTGAAGGAGGTACTGGTGAATGCTCTCAGCATCTCGCTTTAGCCAAGCCGCATTCAGCAGGATATTCTCACAGCACTGCTGGATGGTACGCTCAGCTGACGGAGCGGGGTGACTCTCGAAGAAAGCCTGGCGTAAAACAACCCGGAGTGTAGGATCAGTACCAGCAATAGTAAGAAGGTAACAGTATCACAGCTCAGGAAAAAATACCACTCTTCTGTAAAGGATTCAAAAGCTTCAATCATGAAAATTTACCACTGCCACTCCCAGGCTAAAAGAAAACCAGCAGCTCCTTAGACTTGCATTCAGGAATTCTTCTCCAAATACACGCTTAAAATCGAATCCAAAGTTAATGAAGAGATAGAACCTATGGCCTTTCTTCTAGTGTGGGCGCTGGAATTAGGCTTGGGATTCAAATCTAGGCTGGATCATGTATTAACCTATGACTTTTCGTTAAACAAACTCTTCTGTTTTCTCATTTATGAGAAAATATTTACTCCAGAAGATTCAAGAAAACCCCATATAAACTGTTAACGTAATAGTTGGCAGGCAGGGTCCTTAAGGACTCAAAACACATTCTGGCTGCTTCTAATAGAGATTAAACTGCGAAGGATGATAAAACCATGAAGCTTTGATAGACTCACATTTTTCATACAAGACTATTTCTGAGTTTGTTGTAATTTATTACAAAGCTTATTGATTAAAGATGCAATAAACTATTTTCTAATGAAGTATGCCAAGATTCACAGAAAACAAAGCAACTCTTGGGGCACCTGGGTGGCTTAGTCGGTTAAGTGTCTGACTCTTGATTTCAGCTCAGGTCATCATGATCTCAGGGTCCTGGGTTCAAGCCCCGTGTCAGGCTCCATGGTCAGTGGGGTGTCTGCTTGGGATCCTCTCTCTCCCTCTGCCCCTCCTTCACTCACTCTCACTCACTCTGTCTCTCTCTCTGAGATAAATAAATAAAAACTTAAAAAAAAAAATGAAAACAAAGCACCTCTTAAATACCAACCAGCGAAAGGATGGGGGTCTTTACTTTGAACTCATCATCACAGTGTATAAGGGAGAATGACTAATTCATCAGATTAAGTCTAGAACTTTTAGAAATCAATAACCTTATTTTGTTTACATACAATGGCTCCTGCTCCAAGGCTCTTTAGGGCCTGAGTAAGATACAAGACTTCCCCTCATTGCATCTCCACAAACAGCACTACCATTTACATATTAGAAACCTGGGAATTATCCTCTACTCTTCCTTCTTCCTCTGCCAGGTATGTCCACAACACAGAGAAGCCACTCAGAAAATATTTGTTGAACCAAAGATTAACAAAATCAAGCCCCCTGAATTTCATTACTCCATCTCCCCCAAGCTACTTTATCATTCTTGCTTGGACAGTTAGCATCCCAACATCTTCTCTTCGCCAACCCACACTTTCTCCGCACTGTAGCCAGGCTGAAATTTTTATCACACAAATCACATCAACTCACTCTGTTTATAGGCAATTCAAGGGCTTCCCGCTTTTAGGAAAATTTTCATACAGGCTATAGGGCTCTCCATGGTCTGGCCTCTACCTATCTTACCAGCCTCAGCGCAGCCACTCACTGCCCTTCCCCTCCAAACCCAGTGTGTGTACCTCTCCTTCAGAGCACTTATATCCTTTACAATATACAATGTAAACTAAATGAAGGCAGAGATCAAGTCTCTCAGTGTTTTCTCAAGCTCTGAATTCTTAAAATCTTATTCCTAGAATGGTTTCCAGAATGAATGAAACAGCACTATAGCTCTCAGAACTTCTAAATTTACATCTCATAACCCCATTGCCTTCAACAAGAGGAAGATGAAAATGACATTTCAAAAGTACTTCACAATTAAAGGCAACGGAAGGCTTAAAGTTAAGATTTTCCTCATCAGTGTAGATTTGTTCCCCAAATGCTGAACTTTACCACTTAACTGATTATTATCCTTCGTAAAGGCTAAGAGGACAGTCCCTACATAGCCATCTTCTCTCCCTGTGCATATGACAGATTACAAAGGTTATTAGAAAGGAAAAAATTATCAAGGACCTACCACTCCATTCCAGTCTGTTACTGGTGATGTTAGTTACTCTAAATAACAATCTTATTATCACCCCATTTTATGGATAAGGAAACACAGGGAGATCATGGGGTTAAAAACATGCTTGAAATCACATAGCTAATCAGGGCAAGGGATGGTTTTCTACTCGGACTGACTGATTCCAAGTTCCATGTTTTTTCAACCATATTTCAACGCCCTCAAAGATGATTCCAACCCCAAATTCTTCAAGCATTAAAGACACAACCCAAACAGTCTTTTTCCAAGCAAAAACAAGGATAAATACAGCATTACCCCATTACCTGCACTGTATGATTACAATGTGGCTTATTAGTTTTTACTTACTACCTTGAAAAGTAAAAAGTAAATAGCACTTTGCTTACCTTAACCTCTCCAGCCATTTTGTCAACTGCAAATCCCTCAACTGACAGCTGAAAAAACAACAGGTTAAACAGTAAATGCAACTAAAAGAGGCTAGGAACAAAATTCCATTTATCCTAAAAATGAGCCATTCTATTCTCTCCCAACTTCAGAATATTCTAGAGGATGCATGATGGGTGAAGGACAAGCCCTTTAATAAAGCTAATAACTATTTAAAGAAACTTTCTTTTCTTTTTTCTTTTTTTTTTTTTTAAGAAACTCTTAAAGAGCAAAGACCATCGTCTACAGACCTAGTGAATCATGGATGTCCTTAAATAACATCTACGATGAATAAGGTACTCAAAATAAAAATCTTCACACACCTTTATTAGTCTGGATATTAAGAATCCTCCCTGGTATCGATTATAAAGTTCTTCCCAGTTGTCTTTTATAAATTTCCAAGCAGCCTTCCTTCCATGCTTGCTGCCTCCAGCCACTCCACCAATTACTGACACAGTGTCCTGTGGACGTACCTCTTCCTAAAAATAGAAAGGGAACTAAAAATCTACTGTACTCAAAACATCTTCTGGTGCTAGAAAGGGCAGATACTTTTGAGGTACCCAAGCAATCACACTGAAGACCCTCATTCCTTGTTTTAGGAATAACTGGCACCAGAAGCTTCTGGCAAAGAGAAGAATGTTTAACCTAAAGATGAGCCAAATTGAGAATGAGGCATTGAGACCTGTACAGACAGGCTGCACAAAAGATACTTGCTTAGGTTCCTCCAGGGTTAAGAAAGGAAGAGACAGAAGGTAGGTACTGGGATAATTATGCTTTCCAGTTTATTTCTGCCTCCAACTATTCTGATTCTCACCGTTATGGGGTGGTATACAGGTCAGTAGCAAAAGCCCATTCCATTTCCCCAGACTAAGAGGAAGCCTCAGTTTAGGGTTAAAGCAGATCAAGAAGAAACTGAATTAAAGACACTTGCCACAGATCAGTGGGTTACAATTCCCTCTGTAGGCAGTTTTTGTTGTAACTTACTGAAAGTGCAAACGTGAGGACTTTTTGAATCAATTCAGGTGAAAGAGTAGCCCCAAGGACCCTTTCAATTCGGTTTTTCTCTTCCTGCATATCTGCTTGTTTGTGAAGCTACAATGAAAAAATAAAGATATAGTTAACTCTCCCCTAGAAGTTATGCATATGCTTGTGTGAGCTTCTCCCCCAAACTTTTTGCTCTACATTCTCGCTGACTGAGATTGCACAGTATTAAATTAACAAAAGGAAATACCTTTTAAGATGTTCAGGCACTACATTTTTCATATGCCAATACAGTAAGTCACTATGTAAGTCTGTACTATGTGAATGGCTTGTCATCAGTTCTGAGCAGTTTAACATCAAGGTCTGAGGGATATATGTCTGACTAATGTTCTGTGTTAGATGAATAAACTAATCATCACTAATACGATTGAAGGTCATCCATTTAATTTCTAACAGGAAAAAGTAAACGTTAATTTAAAAAAAGGACTTTATTTACTTATTTATTTGAGAGAGAGAGAATGAGAGAGAGAGCATGAGAGGGGGGAAGGTCAGAGGGAGAAGCAGACTCCCCGCTGAGCAGGGAGCCCAATTTGGGACTCTATCCTGGGACTCCAGGATCATGACCCGAGCCGAAGGCAGTCACTTCACCAACTGAGCCACCCAGGCACCCCAATAAATGTTAATATTAATTCATGAGTCTCTGATCAGTGGGATTCTGTATCATCACATTTTTTTTTAAAGATTTTATTTATTTATTTGTCAGAGAGCGAGAGAGCGAGCACAAGCAGGCAGAGTGGCAGGGAGAGGCAGAGAGAGAAGCAGGCTCCCTGCTGAGCAAAGAGCCGGATGTGGGGCTCGATCCCAGGACCGTGGGATCATGACCTGAGCTGAAGGCAGCGGCTTAACCCGCTGAGCCATCCAGGCACCCCTATCATCACATTTTTAACTGCAAAATCAGCACATGTTGAACACAGAAAATTGGGAAAATAGAGAGGCATAAAAAAACAAATTAAATTATCGGGGCAGCTGGGTGGCTCAGATGGTTGAATGCCTGCCTTCAGCTCAGGTCATAATCTCAGGGTCCTGAGATCGAGCCCCACATCAGGCTCCCTGCTCAGCGGGAAGTCTGCTTCTCTCTCCTTCTACCCCTCACCCTCACTCATATTCTCTCTTTCTCTCTCAAATAAGTGAATAAAATCTTTAGGGGAAAAAAAAAAAAAAAGAAGGGGCGCCTGGGTGGCTCAGTAGGTTAAAGCCTCTGCCCTCGGCTCAGGTCATGGTCCCGGGGTCCTGGGATCAAGCCCTGCATTGAGCTCTCTGCTTGTGGGGAGCCTGCTTCCTCCCCTCTCTCTCTGCCTACTTGTGATCTCTGTCAAGTAAATAAATAAAACCTTAAAAAAAAAAAGACAAAAAATTAAAGTATTGATATGTATATTACTAATCAGAAATAAGACCCCCTTATAGCTGCTATTTTGTGACCTTTAAAAAATATTTAAATTACAGGTAATTTTATTTTCTTTATACTTTTATAGCCTCTAAATCTTCCACAGTGACTATACCAAGTCTTTTTTTAATCATCAGAAGCAAAACATTATACATGTAAATAATTAGAATTACAAAGGTGTATGAGATACCTCTCCAAGACAACTTAATTTATAGATTCTGCTGATCATCTCTCCCACTGAAGATTCTATACTGACCAGTGTCTGCAGACCCCATCACAGGTCCCAGTTTCCCCTTCCTTTCCTTTGGACTCTTGAGCAGCAATGTGGTAAAATAAATAGGAAGTCAGGAGATCTGGGTTCTAGTCCTAGTTTTGCCTCTAACTAGCTGTGTGATCTTGACTAAGTCCTTAACCCTTCTGGATCTCAGTTTCCCCAGTTGTAAAATGAGTGGGATGGACAGATAATTTCTAAAGGTCCTTTTCAGCTCCAATACTCAAAGTCTGAACTCTGGCTTGCAGGAAGCATTGTTTTCCCCAAGGAAAACCTGTTACACTTGACCACTAGATGGCACCATAACACCACATTCCAAATACACTTTGAAATAAAAGTTTGGTTCTTTTTTTTTTAATCCTGCCTCATTATTCCTAAATTACCAACAGAAAACAATCCTCCTCATCTCCCATCAACTGGTTACTTGAAGAAACTTAATTTGGTCTTCATTAGAGCTCTGCTTATAGTAAAGCAGAACTACAGTCAGCTCCCTTGTATTAACAGATGCAAACACTTACTAAAATATACATAGTAGTGTTAAGTTCTTTAAAGTATTCCACGACATGAAAATGCCCAGGTTATCTGTCACGAGAATTCCAGAACCCCTGATTTTTGTTCCATACTTTTATGGAAAAGACAAAACCCACAAATACCTGATTTCATCTACAAAGAAATACATGATTTATAGCGCACAGGTTCACAGACTATTAAGAATGAGAAACGACCAACCCAAAGTATAACTTTCCTATTATTAGAAAGGAAACTCTTGCACAAGATCAGTAAAGTGGCACATTTTGAGTTTCTTAAAGTTTCTATTTTTCAAAATAGTTTAGTCATTTAAATAGGATTTGTTTAAAACTAAATACTAGAAATTAGATTTGCAATTCTGATCCACTTGGGATCAGAAATGTTCTTAATCCATTAAGGATGAAAGTAATAAGCACATTTCATTCCTGTTTTTGTTGTTCCCCTCCTTAAGTGCGGGTCTTTAAATGAATGGGCTTTATAGGTCTGACAGGTAATTTGGGTATTTACACACACTTTGCACATTTTATTTGATGGTAATAGATTCAGCTCCCTCTACCACTGATGCAATCAGAATAGTCCAGTTATTTCTTAGATTGATAACTACATGGACAGGGACTTAGGCAGCATTTGTTCCACAGTATTAGTATTTGAGTTTAATTATATGCCAACCACCCTGGGAAAACTACAGAGGCAGCAGGCAGGTCAGTCAATTTCCTGTCCATTCATAAATGGAGCACTGGTATAGCTCAAATCCTTGAGATAAGTGATCATCTATCCACTTTCTCTCTTTAAAGGATTTTATTATTTACTTTTTATTTACTTTACAGGAGAGAGAGAGAGCACAAGCAGGGGGAGCAGCAAGGAGAAGGAGAAGCAGACTCCCCGCTGAGCAGGGAGCTTGATGCAGTGCTTGATCTCAGGACCCTGGGATCATGACCTGAGCCGAAGGCAGACACTTAGCTGACTGAGCCACCAAGGCGCCCCATCTATCCCCTTTCCAAGCACAGACATAAACCTTGGGAAATACCCTAGTAACTTTACACTGAAGGGAAAATTTTTAAGAACCTGACATGTTAATCAAAATGAACATTTCAGTTTTTATATTTAAGGTGCATAAACTTATGAATAAAAAAAAAGAAGTGAAGTTAGATGACTTTTGGCACTGTATTGGTAGTATACATGAAAAGACATTATGTATTTCTCCCAAGGTTTTTCTTTTTAAGAGCGAGAAAGAGAAAGCGTATGTGCACATGCATGTGGGGGGTGGCGCTGAGGGAGAGAGAGAATCCTAAGCAGACTCCCTGCCAAGTGCTCAGCCCGACACGGAGCTCCATCTAATGACCCTGAGATCATGACCTGAGCTGAAATCAAGAGTTGACTAAGCCACCCAGGCGCTCCTCCCATAGTTTCTTAGTATCTGCCCGTCTGCAGTATGCATATCTGCACGTATGTCTTTTGCCCAGACTTTTAACCACCTAACAACACGCATAGTCTCTGTGTCAATCCGTGTTAAAGAGCAGAAAATGGGAGCCCTTCCCAAATTTACTCACCTTTAGCATAATGTCTAAGGTAGTGCCATCACCATGCTTCAGAACAGTCAGATAGACCTACAGAGAACACAGGAACAAAAAAGAAGGCATCTGATTAAATGTATCTTCTTCCAAACAGTCCAATGTTAAGAAAAGACATAAGGCGAATCAAACAATTTATAAATAGCTGTGTGTGGATGTTACATACAAATTGTGGCAAAGAGCTTAGAGCCCACACTGAGAAGCAGCAAGGCAGACAGCGCCGCGTGGTGAGTAACAGCAGCACACACCCACTCCCTCGGGGAAATGTGCGCTGATCATCACCTTTCAGCACCAGAGTCTGGCCTGAGAAATGTTAGACAAAGGACACGCTGGCTACAGAACACTGAATGCACCCATTAAATCAGAATCAGACATGATTTGTGGGTCAGTACTTAGGTCATTTTTGGTTCCCATTACACATTCCGCAGTATACACAGAATGATGCAGTCACTTAAAGATCAAGGTTATTCATCATGAAAACGTACAGGACTCCTCAGATCAGCGGAGAGAATCTGTTTCCCTTCTACGTGGTCCTTAAACCGACGACGGGCTTCTTCTAACGTTGCCTTATGTCCTGCTTTTCCTAGTTTTCCCAGAACCAAGCCCCTCAGGAGTGCGTCTAGATGACCTGATTAAGAAGTAAAAGAGACACGGAACTGCTTAAAAATCCTGCTTTCACAAGTATGCTACCTGGCTATCCTGTAATTGTGTTATACTATATCTACCATCTTGAACAAACACAATCAATTACCTTAGTACTTGAGAGAACACCTGATTTACATTACTCAAATCACAAGAGTGAAATGAAGTGCTAAACAGATTAGCTAAACAAATAAATTTGCTGACTTTGTCTACAAATGTCAACGATCTGAATTTATTAAGTGTTTACTCCATCTAGGAGAGTACACTGCTAAGGACCGTATGTGAAAGGAAGAGGAGGAACAGGCTTAGATCACGCGGTTTTGACCCAAGATTCAGAGAAAGATCACATACAGAACTAGTATGCTGTGTATAATAAATTGAAATCTTAGATTTAAAAATCGACTTCTGACGGATCTATGGACTCCAAAGATATGTAAACGTGCAATAAGCACATAAGGAGAGGCTCAATATTGGTGATTAGGGAAACACAAATCGAAACCACAGTGAGCTGCCACTTTACACCCACTAGGATGACTGAAGACAGACAGACAATAACAAGCACTGTTAAGGGTGCGGAGAAATTAGAACCCTCATACATTGCTGGTGGGGTGTAAAATGTGTGGCCACTTTGAAAGACAAGCTGGCAATTCCTAAAGAGGTTACACAGAGAGTCACCGTATGATCCAGCCATCATTCCACCTTTAGGCATATACCCGAGAGAAATGGAAGCATTATGTCCACACAAAAACTTGTTTACACACATGTTCACAGCAGTATTCACAGCTGTCCAGTACGAATCCGAACATCCATCAAGTGATGAAAACACAGAGTGTGGTACGCCCGAACGATAGCATATTACTCAGCTGTGAGAGGAATGCAGCACTGACAGACAATGCAAAATGGACGTACCTTTGAAACATTCTGCTACGTGAAAAACGCGAGACACAGAAGGCTACGTGGGGTAGGAGTCCACACATAAGAAATGCCCAGAGCAGGCAAATCCATAGAGACAGAAAGGAGATTAGTAGTTGCCAGGGACGGAGGTTGCCAGGAAACGGGAAGTGACTGCCAATGGGTAGGGAGTTTCTTTTAAGGCTAAAGAAATTGTTCTGGAATTAGATATGGGGATAGTTGTGTAACCTTGTGAACAAATTAAAAAAGACTAAGTTGTATACTTTTAAGAGGTCCGTTTTATGATATATTGATTATATCTCAAAAAAAGAAAGTTAACACCAGCAATGACGGATTGCAATACCAAAATGGACAGGTTAAGTCGTGGCTTATTCACACAGTGAATACCACTAAGCAATAAAAAGGAATGAACACACTGGATGTATCTTAAGTATGATACTGAGCGAGAGAAGCCAGATAGAAGAACAGAATATATATTAGCATTCCATTGATATAAAGTTCTAGAAGAGGTAATATTAACCTAGGGTGAAAGAAGGCAGAACAGTGTTTGCCTGCAGGGGACGGGCAGGGGACACCTGAGTGGCAGGGACTGACCGGGAAGAGGCCCTGAGGCAACCTCCTTTGGTGTCCGCATTTGTCAAAAGTCAGGGAACTGTAACATTTACACTGTGTACCTTGCTACACCTAAATTGTACCTCGGTAAAAAGTAAGTTTAAGAAAACCACAGGAGATCAATAGATAACACAAGAGGACATCAGTGAAGAACCAATTTGTAATTCTGGCTCCGGTACTGACTTGCAAGGCAATGTTTTGTTATTTTGCTGTTTGGCCCTTCCAGCTATAAACGTAGAAAGTTAAAGAAAGACATTCTCCTTATTTCATAAAGCTCTGTTTGAGCCCAAAAAGTTTTACACATTATCACCATTGACAAAGAAAGACAACATCCGCTAATTTGCCTATAACTGTCTCCACATACCCTCTCCTGTCTTGTTTCTGGGATCTCTGTTCCTGACTAAAGCCAGTCCTCCACTGGATCTGACTTCCCTCCATCACTTGGCCATCGCTCTGGCAATTACTCCCCTCTCTTCACACCATGAATTTTTCTGTTACTATTCCATCACTGTCATCAGCACAAAAACATGTTATAAAATCTCCCACTTTGTTAAAAAAAAAAAAAAAGTGTCTCCACTCACCTAGCTCTCTCCAGACTACCCCCTTTCAGCAAAAACTCCTTTAAAAAGCTGTCTAAGTGTGTTGTCTCCTCTTCCCCTACTCCCAGTCTGGAGAACCCAAACCACCACCACTCCACAAAATTTGCCAAGGTAATCACCAATTCTTTACCTTGCCTGACTCAGAGCAGCATCTGTCATGGTGGATAACTCTCTAACTGTACTGCTTTTTTTTTTTTTTTTTAAGATTTTATTTATTTGAGAGAGAGACAGAGAGTGTGCACAAGACAGGGTAAGGTCAGAGAGAAGCAGATTCCCCACTGAGCAGGGAGCCTGATGTGGGACTCGATTCTGGGACTCCAGGATCATGACCTGAGCCGAAGGCAGTCATGTAACCAACTGAGCCACCCAGGCACCCCTCCGTCTGCGCTGCTTCTTAAGCTGTCTGGGACATCTCCTTGCTCCTGACTCTCTCACCTCACTGGTCAGTGAGTCTCCCCAGCTGATACCTCCTCTTCCACCCAATCTCCAAATCCTAGCCTAGCCTAAGACCTAGTCCTCAGACTATTCTTCTCTCCACCTACATTCCAGCCCTGCATGATCTCTAGTTTCGTGGCTATATATACCATCTATGAACTAAGTGGATTTATTTGGCCTAGACCACTAGGTATGATACTCTCCACCAGGATGTTTAAAAGGACCTCACATTTCTCATGTCTAAAACCCAACTCCTGATTGCCCCCAGCCTGCTGCTGTGGCAGTCTTCCCCATTCCTGCAGATGGCAACTTCACTCCTTCAGTCTCAAGGCCAGAATGTGGCGGCTCCTCTCACTCCACCGCAGCCAGTTCACCACCAAACAGATTCAGTTCTGCCTTCAGAACAACCACAGAATTTACCACTTACAAGTGCAAGCTGCAACCAGCGCCTCAACTGCACTCTGTAACCTGTCTCCCTGCTCCTTTCTCTGGGCTCCCAACTCCGGTCTGGTTTCCACAAAGCAGAGTATATCCAGTCATGTTCTGCTTCAGCTCTCAAGTTCACTTCTCATACCACTAAACTGTGAAAATCCAAAATAGTGTACGAGCTCCCATAGGTCCTACAGGAGCTGAACCGCTTCCCGCTCCCTGTCTCCCTCACTACTCTGTCCTGTTATCACAAGGACCCAAGCATGCTCCTGCTGCAGGCCTTCCGCACTGGCTGTTCCCTGCTGGACCCTTTCCCTCTGGATGGCCTCCCAGCTCTCTCTCAGAGGTGTCTGCTTATGTACACACATCACCTCATCACGAGGGATGGCTGCTCTGACCACTCGATGAGCTACCGGCCTCCTCCTCTTTGGCTACCTCACCTATCTGGATTTTTCTTCATGATGCCGCTGCCACCTAAAATATCATGTATTTAATGATTTGCTGTGCCTCCCACTGGAAGTAAGCCACACAGGGCAATGCTTTCTTCACTGCTGTACCACCAGCTCCCAGAATAGAACCTGGTTATTTACTAGGTGCAAAAGTATTTGCTGAATCAATGAAGGGAAAACACAGAGCTCTAGGTAATTGTTACTGCTGCTCTTACTGCAAAAGACCCCCTCCGGGACAAGATTGCTCGGGAGGGAAATACCATCTTTAGTTATTTGCAGATGGTAGAAAATAATTATATATAAAGCCTTTAGATCACCCACCATTCCCAACATGTACAGGACAGCAAAAGAGTAAATATGTGATTACAGAAATAATCAGAGGAGAGAACACATGGAGAAAGTAAATAACTTCCTTAGTTCAGGTACTGTCTCTCACTGTCTTTACAAGTTGTACATATAAGGTGCCTGGAATTTAGGGTAATAATAAATAAAATAATCCAAAATTCCCTTTAGCTTTCCTTGATTATAGATAGGCCTTTGGAACTCTGTAAAAGATTTCTATTTCCATCATTTGATTTGTTTACAAATCATATTTAGCCGTGAATACACATAGCCACCACTGTTTTTACTTTGCAGCCCATGTAATTTCACCAATAAACTTAAATTAATTTCTGGTGAGCTGAATACATAGTAACATCCAGCAGATACAAAAACGTTACTGATACTGTTAACAACAGCTGAGTAAAAAAGGATCAATTTCTCCTCCATTACTTCCCCATTCAGCACACCCATTACCTTCTCCAGGTTTGGGGTCCCAGCCCAGTCTCTCCCCTATAGGTGAAAAGACATCTTTCACAAACTCCTGGATTTCCTCATAGAAGTCTGTGTGGGACAAGAGAGTTGAGAGAATCCCCAGGTTACAGCTCAGGTCGCTCCACACAGTATAATTGGGCTCATTCACAAAAGCCTCCATGACTTTTAGAACCTCTACAGTGCTAATGATTCCAGCTCGAGCCTGGGATAGGAAAAAACATAAATTAATCTAGTCTTCAAACAAAAACTAAACAAAAAAATATAAGCATGCATTTTCAGCATTATCTACTGCTAGTCAGTCATGTCTCTGGTTTAAAGGAAATGAGGCTATATAAATTCAGGGGATTATTTAAATAAAAATGCTATCATGACAACATTCCTTATTTACTTTTTTTTGCTATTTATAAAAGAGCCAAGTAAGGAAGCACACTTGGTCTGGTGACAGATGGTGGCTACACGTGCAGTGAGCGCAGCACAAGGCACAGACTTGTGGAATCAGTACGCTGCACACCTGAAACTCATGTAACATCGTGTATCAACTACACTTCAAAACGAAAGAAAGCAAGAAAGAAGAAAAAAAGAAAGCAAGAAAGAAAACAACTTCTGTTTCTATCCAGTGTCTGGGCCTTGGTTTTCTTTTTATTTTAAAAATTCTCAGACTTTCAGAAAAGATGCAAAAATAGTCAGGGCTTTGGCTTTTGACAGAGGCTCTTTCAAAATTGGACCTGCAGACTGTGTCAACGTCAGCCTGTCCTTCACTCATTTCTAAAAGAAGGAAAACTGGAAGGCACTACAAATTCAGAGTCCTTTCAGAATTAACTAACAGAGCTAGGAAAAAGAACTTCTGTTACAGCAGCCAACTGCACAAACACAGCACTCTCCTGGGACAGGTCTCTCAGCAATGAGATCAGCAGATGTGAGGTTGTGTGCACCAATGCTAATCTGTGTTTATACAAGGGAGGAATCCAAAACCAGTTACTGCAGAGGGGAGGGAAAATTTCAAGTCCAATTTAAAGGAACACTAGGAGGAATCTGACAATTTTATCACAGACATCTGGCAATTATCTAACCTATGTTGGAGTCATAAAGATAATACTACTAATTGCTGATTTAAATCCTTTCTGGAACAAAGCCAAATATAACATAATTCTAAAGCTAATGGGCTATTATTATATTTGAGTAGCAATGGAATGTTAAAAAATACTAGATGTTTCCAGAGAAATACAATCACTATTTTAGAACACATAAATCACTCTAAATTAATTATTTAAAAAAACCCAACACATCGGTAGGGAAATTTCTTCAAGGCTCATACCTATTTCTACCAAGAAGAATTTCTGCCTTACAAAGGATAGTTTTAGTTGCAAAACCTGCCTTAGGAGTAGTGAGATGGGATTTGTTTCTGGTAAATTAGATGTGTTTAATCTTGTCTTGTTAATTAATAATTAGTCATTTGTTCTAGTCCCAAAAGGTGTTCAACCTTCAGGAAGAACCATATTCTTCTAATTATGTTTCAGTCAGACACTCCAGGAAAAACAAAATCCTTTAATCAACAAAATCCATCATACTACTTGAGGGAGGCTCACCAAGGAGAAGAGGTCATTCTGTAATCCAAGTCGATCCACAGGGGGCAGAGAAAGGTCACGAATGCCTGGTAATAAACTTTCCAGCATGGCTGAGCTATACTGGGTCCGATAAAATCCAACTGTCCCCAGGTTTAACTGAAAAGACACCCAATGGGCATTATTAATTAAACAGTTGCTTTTTTTTTTTAAACAATCTTTAGCAGGTGTGAAAAGTGTTCTGGGTTTTGTTTATCTGAGCAAAAACAACAAAGCTCACATATGCAGGCAGGGATGAACATGAAACAACATGTAAAGATAGAAATCGGTTGTCAGGGCGCCTGGGTGGTTCAGTTGGTTAAGCTGTCTGACTCTTGATCTCAGTTCAGGTCATGATCTCAGGGTCAGGAGACTGAGCTCCACTTCAGGCTCCAAACTGAGCTGGATGGTAGGGAGGATGGGAGTCACATGGGCCAGTTTCTATCCACTCGCAGTGGACGGTTTTAAGTTTACAGAAAATATTTACTGTATGTAAGAGTGCATGGACTGTGGAATATCTGAGGAGGACTAAGCCTTTACACTCATTTACTCAGCCAGACTCTCAACAGAATAAAAATGCTCAGGTCCTAGATTTTAAAGAATTAAGGAGACTTAAAAGGTAATTTCACATGATTTGTGGAGTGAGGTAATCACGGACTGTCATTATTCTCTATAAGCTATTTACCAATAGGCAAAAATATTTCTTTTTTTAAAAGATTTTTTATTAACATATAATATATTATTAGCCCTAGGGAAAAATATTTCTGATAATACTTATATACAAAACACTTCGAAGGTAAAATAATAGCATAAGATATAAATATTTTTCTATTTATATATAAGTATTTTTTTTTTAAATCACCTCACAATAATACAACTGCTGTTTTATTGATTCCCTTTACCTTTCATTACAGGAATAATACCTTTATTTACAAAATTACAATCACTGCATACATATGTTTTTCTCATTTGTAAGAAAAATTTCATACAGCTACATCATCTTCCAGATATAATCTCAAATGGTGGTAATACACTATTCCAGTAAGTAAAATATGTATTAGAACAAAGGGAAAAATGGTTCTTTTCAGAAAAGCAAAGAAGTCTGAGACAACATATAATTCCTATTAGGAACCTATAACTGGGTGAAAAGTCTAGTAGATACTTTCATTATGAATAGTGCAGAGTACAGGATAATGAAAAATCATCTTTACCAACTGTTATTTTTTGTGAAATGGTTTCCCAACATCAGTTACAGGATTTCACATTTCAGTGACACAAACTTATTATTATATGTCTGAGCTCACTTGATTATAGCTGTACATTTCCAATGACAACATATCATCGAAGTTAACATCTCATCACAATGACAGTGCAGTTGGAAGCTGCAAGACTACAAATCTTTTGGTTAATGTGACTTTCCACATAATCTACGATTTTTCCCCCTTTGATCCCATCTTTTAATATCTGCTTATCTATCACTTCCTTAACTGACATAAGGGAAGATATCTAGACCATATTATTTGAAAACTGGCCCTAAATTTCTGTCTTTGCAAGTCCTAGTCTAAACTAACGCAGAATTTAGAGCCAGCCATAAAATGCATAAGGGGAGTGAGAGAAATCAATCAATTTAGGTTAGATAAAAAGAGGCCATTTCTAGACTCACCTTTACCCACTGGTCCGGTTTGACATTTTTCAAAACCACGTTCATCTCTGGCTTGTCCATCAGAATTTTCAGTTTGGCATGGTTGGGATCTTCGCTAGTAGAGATCGTGATAGGAACCATCCACTGGGGACAGTCTTCTCCTTAAGCAAGAGAAGAATGAATAGGAAACTTGAGATATAGTTTGTCACTGGAAGAAAAAGAAGGTAAGGTGGAGAGAGAGGACAGGTGTCCTACACATGAACTTGAGTCTAACTGTTAAGCCAACAGTTCAATGGTTCAATGGTTCATAAACTCTTCCACAACCTGAATAATACTAGTATAAAGGAAGAGAGGATTTATTAACAAAATCACAATAGCCTAAAAAAAAGAGAACAGTTTATTCAGTTGTAGTATCACAAATACAGTGATTTTAATTTGCCACTTTCCCTTTACAGAGCAATAGAGACAGTAATGATTTTACTGTTAAGAGAAATTTCGAGTAGGTAAAAGCTCTCACATAGCATTTAAAAACATTCTAAGGTGCAGGTATATATACTGCTGAAACACTGAAGGGTTGATTTTATTTCTGTGATAGACACGACAATCCCTGGAGCTGATAGATTCCACCACTAAAAAGTGATAGCTAAAAGTCAAAGCTTTTTTAAGGGGTATCAGATAGCAAAACAGACTCTGAATTAAGATACTGAACAGACTAGAGTCACTGCCCACTGCATTAATGTAAACTATTAATAAGTTATATACTTTATGCTATTAGGCTAAATGACAAATCAGAATTGTCTTCTAATGTTGGGATAGTTCAGGTTTTATTACTACCCATACTGGTCACAGAGTGTTTGAAAAAACTGCAAATCCTGTCAGTCCTACCATGCAGACTGTTATGAGGCAGCAAACAGAAAATGTAACACTTTAGGATTTATTTTGGATAATAAACCTGTCATCTAACTTGTCAGACATAGTTATTTAAAGAGTAATTCTAAATGCTAAGCAAGGTAAGGATGGAAGGCTGTACCTCTTAACCCTAGTAGAGTGTACCATATTTTGGAGAGTGGAGCATAAAAACGTATTGGTGATTCTGATATACATCTCCCCTTATTAAGAAATGTTATTTTAAAGGAGGTGAGAAAGGTGCAGAGAAACAATTCTAATTTTCTGAGCAAAAGAATCAACGACCTGTAGAAATATTTGAAAAACCAGAGTCGAGTGGTGGTTAAAGGTATAAACTCATGTAATCCAACTATTTTGTTTGAATTCCTACTCTTTAACTCATTAGATAGGTGACCTTGGGCCACTTAACTAACCCAGCTTTGCCTCAGGTCCCTCATTTATAAAAAGGAAATAATACTATCTACCTAATGGGGTTGCTGAGACTATAAAAGAAGGATCAGTACTTCTAAGTACTACTAAGCTATACTGCTTAGCACAGTAACTGGTACATAATAATGCTAAATAATGACTGGGCTTTATTTATTTACTTGTTCACTTACTTAGTATGCCCAAGAGTTTAAAAAAAAATTAGCTACCCATACAAGTGTGCACCAAGGCTTCTTTTAGGAATGAAGGCTAGAGACATTACTTCTTGGGTGTTCCTAATTTATTCCTTATAGGTTCCAATAATACACAGAAACAGGGAATTTCAAAAATCAAAGACTATCAAAACACTACAAACATCTCATGAATCTTTTTTGATTTCCTAGATTTTTTTTTATTTTATTACCATTTCCTTATTTTTTCCCTTATTTTTAATTCTATTAAAAATATTGAAAAATGGATTATTTCCTATTAATTGTAACACTACTCATATGGTATTCAAATTCATTTATCAGCTCCCACTTATAGCCACTTGCTTACCAACATATGGTCCACTGGCACAGAACTTCCTTTGGGACAACCTCAATAATCTGTCATCTTCTACCTAAAGAAGGAAAACAAAAGCTAAAATAGTAGTATTGACTTTTTTTTTTTTTTTTTTTTTTGGTGGGGACAACACTTCTGTGACAAAACAGAAGGTGAAACCAGGACAGCCAAGTGTCTCAAACTGCAACAGTGATGAAGATGATGACACTACATAATGGGAGAAGACATCACTTCTCATTTAGGCCTCAAAATAACAGTACTTTAAATAAAAGGCCATGTTCTACGTAAGAAGGGATTTACACGCAGACAAGAACTTAAAACTATTACCACTTCCACAAAGATACATAATAAATAACAGTACAGCAAGCTGTTTTAATCTTTATAGAGGGAGGTTATGTCTTCAGACTCTTCCACTTCCACTTCTAAAAAGTGGCAACCTTAGATTAGCCTGTCAGGAATTCAAATTTTCAGAGTGACCAATAAACATGAAGAAGCACACAGCTTGGTTCAAAGGCTGAGCTTAAACCAACTCTGCAGTCCTGGAAGAAACCCCACTTGTTCATTTTAGATTTACACCATGGGGTGCCTGGCTGGCTCAGTCAGAAGAGCAAGCAACTCTTGATCTCAGGGTCGTGAGTTCAAGCCCCACATGGGGAATAGAGATTAAATAAATAAATAAGCTTAAAAAAAAAAAAAAAAAGAACACATCAACAAGTTTACAGAGTTTTCCTTGGGGACAGTGAAAGTAGACAACAGTTTGTTTTCTCCTGTAAGTATGTATGATTTTAATGACGTGGGAGACAAACGGTCAGAGATAATATATCGCCAAGGAAACAATGCAAGGGCTGGGTTCAATGTTACCTAGAATACTAACATACAGAAAAGCAAACCTGATGACACTGACTGAATTTCATTCCACGCAGCAGCGAGGGAACTGGAGGGTCTGTTGTAAGGTTACCTGCTCTGCTTCCACATAAATGAGGGGGAATCCCATCTGTTTAGTCCAGGTGTTCATCACCGCTGCTATAGGTTTACCACTGGCATTCTCTAAACTTTCCCAGAGATCCTCTAGAAGATGAACACAAACAATGAAAATCTAAAATGCTTACATTTTTGTTTTTCTAAACAAACCAAAAATTTTTTGTAACTCCCGACATCACATTGCTAACCAATTTTTTTTTAAGATGTTATTTATTTATTTGACAGAGATTACAAGTAGACAGAGAGGCAGGCAGAGAGAAGAGGAAGAGAAGCAGGCTCCCTGCTGAGCAGAGAGCCTGATGTGGGGCTCGATCCCAGGACCCTGAGATCATGACCCGAGCCGAAGACAGAGGCTTTAACCCACTGAGCCACCCAGGCGCCCCTTTGCTAACCAATTCTTTGGTTCTTTCAGGTTCAGGAGACAAACAGGAGGTCAAATTAATGTCCCCTCATTTCCACATTAAATAAACTCTATTACAAAAACTGGTCTTAAAGTCTAAGATGTCCTTAATTGTTCCAATGTACTAAAAAAAAAATCACAAATTATAGGGGTGCCTGGCTGGCTCAGTTGGTGGGCCATGGAACTCTTGATCTCAGGGTCATGAGTTCGAACCCCACCTTGGGCCTAGAATTTACTTTAAAAAAAAAAATCAAAAATTATAATAAATAAAAGATAAACAGGTGAATTCAAACAAGAAGAAATGGAAACATATTCAAGATCACCCCTAAATAATTCATATAAAACCATTATACCCATTCGATTAACAGAGGTTAAAAAATACTCAGTGCTCTGAGGCTGCAGTAAAACTCACACGGTCAAACAGCACTGATGGTCAAGTAAACAAAAAAGTGATACACTGTAATACACACTAGAAGGAGGACATGAACAGAGGAAAAGCCTTTCAAGAAAAATCCAAAAAAATAAAGGCTTCATGAGAGTTGGGCTTTTCGTCTGCATTTTGAAGAGGAGTTGTTCATTAGACTGACAAAGGGAAAAGGGCAATCCAGGTAGACAGAATACATGGCCTATGTACAAAGAAGAAAGTATTAAGAAAAGACAGAAAATATCAGCAACAGCAAACGTTCAGTAAGCAGAAGACAGAGGCCCAGGTGTGGGAGCAGTAGGCAGTGAGGCTGAGACAGCAGGCGGGGCTAGCGGCCAGGACCCCGTGGGGCTCTACTGTGCAGGGGAGTAAAGTATCGCAAGTGTTTTTAATCAGCAGGTGAGGCAGTCAGAGACTTGATTTAGAAAGATGACCCTGGGCAGCCTCAGAGTGAGAGAGAAAACTGAAGAGAATGGGGCAGGCAAGAAGTACTAAGCTGGTAGGCAACTATGGAGTTCAGAAGAGAGATCATGAAGGCATGGATTAAGCAAAGGGGAGTAAGGAGAGACAATCAAAACCATGGATGGGGGTTGCACTGTGTCTGAACTACCAACTGTCCTTCGTAACACCAGCAAACCAAGAAACGGTACAAGGTAGGCCTCGCTGTGCAAAGGGTGGCGTCTCAACCAAAGGCACTGGCTTTGCCCGGAAGCTTGTTAGGCAGATCCTCCGGTCTCTCCCCAGACCAAATGAACTACAATCACTTCCGCAGACCCTGGGTCATGGCGTGTATGTTACAGCTTAAGCACTATAAGGTTCTGTCCTCAGGTATTCCATGTATGCATGCTAAAGACTCAGAAAACTTACAGGAGCACATTTCCCTGTAGCTCTGCTTTAAGGAATGGAATGCCTCTCTCTTTTATAAGCTGAGATGGAAATTTACGGTGGGAGGTTGGGGAGGTGGGAGGGGAGAGTGTCAGGCCTACATCATGTCCTGAACAAGAAGCAGATATACTGTATTTTTAAATTCATAGGTCACAAACCTCAGAAAAAGCCCATGGCCAGCCCTCTCTGAACTTCTGTCATTCTATAAGGTATTAGTGACATTACACAAATCTTGCTTTTGAACTATTTTTGTTCACTGAAGAACTCAAAACTCCAACTCTGGCTCTTTTTTTATCTTCAATCAACTCATACCTTTATTCTTTCTTTTGGCTCCCATACACAGTAAATATCAGACCACTATACACTCTAAACCACTTAAAAATCTTAAACCTTCACTCAAACTCACTGAACTAGTTTCATAAGTTCCCTAAAAAATGGTTAATTTGCAGCAATTTTAATGGCCAATGGTCAACTTAGGCCAAAAAAACCCCCAATGAGCCACCAAAAAGAACAAGTTCTGGTAAGAACTCTGGTAAGAACTGAACTCTTCAGACTCTCTAAGGTATCAGGACATTGAGCTACGGAGAGCAGAGTCCTGGAGGGGGACCGGTAGGATAACAGGTTCTGATTCATGCTGATCCATCACATAACACATGGCACCAAACAGGTCAACTTTGTTTCCTATCTATCACAAGGAAGGTTAAGCATTTGGAAAAAATGGAAATGTCCCACTCTGGATAGAGTGCCAACACCTCCTCTTCACTGCTATCTCAAGCTCTTAAAGATTACCTGTGGCAGCATTCTTTTGTTGGAACTTGGTTAAATACATGTTCATTCCTTTCTTAAAGTCCTGAGAAAACACAATTTTTAAAATCCAGGAGATTAAGACCTTGGAATTTATAGTGTATTTGCATATTAGTACTCAAAAGCTAACTTACTCAAATCAGCTGAGTGTCAGACTTACTGAAAAACTATCTGTCATAATGTCTACTGTCTTTTACTTAAGTATGCATCCTCTTTGCCTTGCATGTCTGTTTTTAACTTTTATACCAGCCTCCCACACATCCCCCAAACACATTTATACATCATTCATCTAAGAGACCGTAAGAGTCAATATTAAAAAGAAAAGAAGATAAGCCAGATCAGGGTAATATCCTTCCAGAGTCTAGAAAAATTACTTAGGAACTTAATCTAAATAAATGTAGACACTTTTTTTTCCATTCAAAACACTGTGATTTCACCATAAAAGGATGGAAGACTTTTTAAAATGGCTTTTTTACCTTATCCCCAATGTAGTCATGGAGCATTCGGATGACAGATGCACCTTTGCTATATGATATAGCGTCAAATATCTCATCAACTTCAGCCGGATGGCCCACATTGACCTGGCAGACAGTGTGATTCAGGGTTATGACAGGAAACGAAGAGCCTCTAATACCGAATGACATAAAAAGCTTTCTAGGAAAACCCTCCTAACTCATAAGACACTCTTCCGCCTTTAGCTCACTCATGAATACATAATGATGACCCTTAAAAAGAGTATAGTAACTAACAGTAATAAAGTGGAGCATAGAACATGATCCCCATCATCTCTGCAAGTCTTGGCTTGGCTTTGCCGAGAGGCAAATCACCATGGATCTTTTTATTGGGGAACTGGGAGAGGGAGGAAGGGAGAGATGAGAAACATTTGATTTCTTGCAACTGTAATGGCTTACAATTACATAGGAGCCTGGTTAAATATGCCAAAGTAGACTGTAAGTCTAGTTCTTTGGAGGCAAAATTTGTCCATCTAAACTAGCCAAAATAAGGACAGGCTAAGTCGAAAGAAATAAAATATATATAAAAACAGACAATGACAACAATAAAAGAATATGTTCAGAGTTTTCTTTGAAATAAACAACAGAATCATAATGTTCTCTTGTGCATACTGCCCAACAGGCATGGTTCTCCCACACTAGTCAATAAAAATGTATTTAATGAATGCTTATGGGTATATAGCACTTGCCTCCACAAAGATAAAATTCTTACGCTGCCTACCTTAAAAAGAAACATAATAATATATTAAGTCTTGTGAGATTTCAAGACTGAAAACATGAACTAAAAAAAACAAGTGAACTGTCCATGCAATTTTCTTTTCTTTTCAGGCTCCTAAGTATCTCTATAAAAAATTACTTATTTCTTTAGAAATGAGAGCAAAGGACAATGGTTGAAAAGTATGACTCACTTCAATAGGATGGCTGTTATCTAAAGCATCAAGCTCCTGGGCACGGGTGTAATCGGCAGATACAAACTGAGTCCAGATATCATACTCTGGGAAGCAGTGGTCTACACACAAATATTCAATCCATGATGCAAAGCCTTCATTTAACCAAAGATGAGTCCACCATTCCTAAAAATAAAAGAAATAAATGTATAAAGAAAACAAAATTTTTATCATTCCACTAATTTAAAAAACTCACATGTCCCTCCCACTACACTCTACAACTTTTAATAAGCCAAAATTCAGGGAAAAACATTCAGTAAGTAACTCACATCTCTAAACAGAAAAGATGCTTAAAAGAGATGCTAAGGAAGGCCAACTGGTGATTTTGGCATTAGGCCTAAGGGACATTTCAAAACATAGCTAAGTAACTCTTTATTGCCAAAGCTAGGAAAAAAATGGAAGGAAAAGGGAGGGAGTGAGGGGAGAAAGCCCTTATATGGAAAAGAGGAAGAGAACAGATAAATGTAGGCAAGAGACTGTATATATGGTCAGGTAAAATTTAGTTGAATAAACCAGAAAGCTACCAGAACCAGACAAGGAAAACTGGAAAAGATTTCCATAATGACTGACTGACAAGTTAAAACTTTCTAGATAAATAGAAAAGCAGTACTGCTTATACAAAGATTAGGTAAAATTAACAGAAGTTTCATGGCAATAAGTAGTTCAGTAATGAACGGTGTTTAAGTACTTATAGATTATAAAATTCTTACCTGCTAATAAAATTTAACAGTAAAATGGACAAAGAATATCAATGAGTCAAAGACTAAAACCAACGTTAAAAAAAAAAATCAACTTTTTAGAAAGAGATTTTATTCTAAGTTTCATTAAAGTTGATTAAATCTCTTACAAAAAGAAAGCAATATAAGAATCCAAGATATATGTAAAGGACTAATGTAATGGTGAAAAGAAAAAAGGCATTTAAAATTCTGAAAAGATCAAATATTTTCAACATTAAGTGATGAAAGCCTATCTGTCTAAGTGGTTTGTACACTTACTTAACTAGTAGCTTCCAAGAGGATAAGCTGGTACAGAGCTAGTTACTCACCAACTTATCATGAGCCCTTAAATTTCAGTTAAAGAAACAACTGACATCTAGTAACTATAAGGTCACTCAAATTCAGTAAAAAGTTATTTAAAAGCTATATGAGAATGTGCACATTTTTCCTACTAAAATTTATTGCTGGTAGTTCAAAAATAAAATAATAAAAAATAAAGACTGCTCAAAACTAACAAAAAATTTGTAGCAACGAACTTGCTGCATTTGGAGAAGAGAATATTTCTGTACATGTTGGAATACACGTACCAGCATACTTAATTCCACATGAAATTATATTTCAAAACTTTTTTTCACCCCTAAGTAAAAATTTAAACATCTAGAGCAAAAGGAAATGGTTTAATTTCAAGGGCTGGCGTTCTTTAAAAACTGTTTCAGACATGTAATGGTTGCTAAATGTCTTACTGTCTTGCTTATTCCTGTGACATATGGACTCAACTAACATCCAAGTCAGGTTCTGCTCTTTGGCAGCCTAAAATGCTATCAGGGAATTTGGCTGGCTCCAGAACCTCCAGTTCTTTCCTTGCAGGGGTACTTCTAGTTCACTCATTAAACTCTGCTCCCAAGTTCTAACACAACTAGCCAACATAGAGAGTACTTATTTGGAGTGAGAGGGAAAGGTCAAGACTTGAGAACACATATCATTCACTGCAAACATAATAAACAATAATTTCAATGGGACAGCTGAAAATTTTATTATACTTAACAGTTAATCCCTGGTTTCATTTCTATCAAATTTCAACTTAACATTTTAAGCAATGAGAAAACTGACTCCTAAAAACATTGCAACCTAATGGATTATGTTCAGGTTATTTTTCAGCTACTTAACTACATAATAAGTATGTTCAAGAAACTACAGTTAGCCTGGAATCTCTGAACCTAAGAGTCGTCTCTTTCTCTCACCATAGTATTATGACTTCACCATTTGCAGGCAAATTCTACAACACTTTAGGAAATACTTTATGTTGAATAAAGACTGTCCACATTCTTTTGATTGACAAAGATATTCTGATAAACACTGCTGAGCAGACTTTCTAAAATAAAGATTTTCTCTCATTCATTTTTTAGTACTATGTTCCAGTCAAACCTGAAATACTATGTAGCCAAAATAATGTGCAGCAGGATGAAGATAAATATATTTGAGCACTTAAAAATATTAAATACCATAGTAACAAGATTTCCAAACCATTGATGGGCGAGTTCATGTCCCACAACCAGAGCAACCCACTGGCGTGATGAGGAACAGGAGTTTTTTGGATCAATAAGCAATGCAGTCTCCCTGTGTTTAAAAAAAACCTTTTTTAAACAATGTTAAGTATTACAATAAAAGGAGGCATACACAAATGGGGGAGGGAGAGTCAAACAGTAAATAAGATGGTCAAGTTAGGCTTTAGAGATATCAAAAAAAACATTTCTTCAGAGTGCACAGAATAGAAAAAGTTCTGGGAAGATTAAGGACTATTCCAACAGAATTCATACAACAGAAGATCAAAGATGAGACACAAGTTTAATCATCAGTTTGTAAATAGGACAGTTGTCTGAAAGTTTTAAAAAAAACATTGTCTAAAGGATTAGGGATTATTGTGCTAGACAGACAGAGTAGACAGTCCTCCCACTAAACGAAGGGGAGTGGCAAACGGGGGGAAGATGCATTCCACAGTCCCAACAAGAACACTGAGCAGGCTGTCCAAAACTTAACTCATCAAAGAAGGCGGGGCAAAAACTTGTTTACAGATCCTGCTTTAAAAATTATACAACCCACATGTTTGTATTGTGGTGACAGATAAGTAAAAACTTAGCTAGAAAACATTAAAGCAGAGATCATTCTTCAAGCTGGAAAAATAACTATGAAACTCCTGGGAGGAAGAGGAGGCACCAAAATGAGAAACTCAGCCAAAAATAGATCTAAAAATGTTACTAATGCCAGATGCTCACTTTAAAATCTTACAATTTGATAGTAGCACCAGAGGGTGTTCATCTGCGTTCCTGAAATGTGTGCAGAAGTGGGGGAGGTAGGAAAATTTACAGCAGATCATAAAGCAGAAGCTACTCAACTGTGATTAGGAGTGAAGCTCTTACAAAATGAGTGACTGAAAAGATAAGGCAGGGTAATGAATCATTAACATACCTATAAGTAACAAGGCCCCAGTTCTCCATGGCACCTTCATAAAATAAATATAAACATTTATTGATATATGTACATACTTCTTCCTCAAAATCACAAAATTCAAAAAAGTTATTACAATTCAGCAATAAAATGAAATTTACTTTACCAGCTGCAAAGTCTGCAATAGCAATGAGATCAATTTTAGGTAGAGGATAAGGAACATTGAAGTAGTCCTTATAAAAAGGCAGGGTTTTAGCAGCAACCTACAAAAGCATAAACAAAAGAACCATCTGATAAATATTTTATCGTAATTCATATAGAAATCCACAAAGGAATCCTGTTGCAAGCCAAAGCATCTCAAGTTACTAGAAACCAACCCTGGGGAACCCTACCTCCAAGTCTTTGGCTTTTGTTATGTTGGCCAAACTTTAAGCCATTTATAATATATTGGTATGAAAAATACATTACATCTTTTCCCACCCACTCTGTGGATAAATAAATTCCACTCTAATATTCTCTTAATCATTATCTTATAAAATGCTAATGTGACACCAAGGTTGGTAGCTTCAAAATTCTATTAAAAATAAAACCAAAGTACACAACAAATTTCAGACTAAATTATAAATAATTGTACTAATAATTGATCAGAAATGTAAATTCCCCAACCTGGAGTTATGGACTGTTGGAACAATCCTCTTCAAGTACATTTACCTCTAACGCAAATTTTCCTTGCTCTGCTTTGCCAACAGGGGTGTAAACACGGACACACACACCGTCTTTTGACCTTGTTTCTACAAAGTCATATTCACCCACAACAAATGCCACCAAATATGTAGACATGACAGGTGTGCGGGCAAACTTCACTTCCACTACATTTTCATCATCAGGGTATGGTTTCCGATCAATTACATTCTTTAAAAAAGAAAAGAAAATTTAAACAGATTTACATTAAATATCTTAAAGCAAATACTAGCCAAAAATATGTGCAGCTTCTCCCTCCTCCTTTCCAGCACGGCTTACTTATCTATCCCAATTCATCCACTGCTTTTATGCTATCAAAATCTCTCCTATTAAGAAGGAAACACTAAGAAGTTGGGGGCTGAAGTGTTAAAACTACCAGGAATCTATGAGAGAAAAGCAGCAACTTTTCTTGAATACCTACTATATGCCAGGCACTGGGATGTTTTAAGTAAGACCTCAACACTTTCCAAGTGAAATAAGGATAGAAGGCAATAATTATTAATAAACGGTAATTGTGAAATCTACATTTCAAAGGGTACAGATATCTAAATTTAGAACATTCTCTATACCAAGGCTGCCTCTAAGCAAATTTGTGGAGGAATCTCTACTTTACCAATAGAGTTCCTAATTTCTCTGTGCTGTTACCAACCTCCACCCCCCTCTGCTTTTTTTTTTTTTTTTTTTCCTATTCAGGCTCTCCACTTTTTCAAGACCTCTCTATTCTTTCTTCCAAGGAAGTCTTATTCAAGAACAGATGTGATAAATTCATTCATACTAAACTGTAAAATAATATTTCAGTTTAATATATTAGCCTCCTTTTTAGAAATATTTGAGAAGAGAACGGCATTCTCTCTATGGAATTCTCTCCACCATAAAGGAGGCAGAAACCAGTTATTTTCAAAGTAGGCTTTTCCAAGTTCCCAGAGTCTTATGACTGGCTGTTGGGTACTCTCTGTGTTAAACAATACATTTCAAGAAGTAAATGCTTACTCTGTTTATGAAAGAGATAATGACATCAGTGAAGAGAGCATATTCTAAGAATACAATCAACCAGAAACCTAAACACATTTCACATATGGCTGTATCTTTTGGCATTTGATAAGAAAGTCAAATTTTTTTTCAGGCAATATTTATTAAATTCATCATGTTTTTAGTTTTCCAAATTTTAAGAAATTTCTTCCATGAGGAAGGAAACTCCAAATAAGGGAATTTTAAAAAAGAGGGCTTACTGGACATAAAGATGATGAACATCTGTGCTCCTGTTATGTATCAAGCACTGTGCTAGGTGGTTTCATGCTATTACATCTAACCAGCAAACTAAATATTCTAAACACTTGTTCAAATTTTCAATATACTTACATACATACATACCATGTTTGATAAAGCTACTCTGTCTTTAGGAACGACCAATGAGATATCAAAAGTTGCTTTGATGGCAGGCTCATCCCAGCAAGGAAAAGCCCTCCGGGCATCAGTAGCCTTAAAAAAGGAAAATGAAATATGAATATTACTGAATTAACCTAACCGACTGTTTTATGAAGTAACTGTCATCATCTTTTTATCATCCATTCCTTCACTTGTTTAAATATTTACTTTTTACTCCATGCCAGCAACACACCAGGCAGTGACTACAGATAACATGGGGCCTGTTATCCCTGCCACAGCAACAATGCAAAAACAAACAAAAACAAGCAATAACCCAGGAATTAGGTCTGCTACAGATCTTAATAATCTATAGTATTAGAATAATTTAGAATAATATATATATATATTTTTAAAGATTTTATTTATTTATTTGACAGAGAGAGAGAGATCACAAGTAGGCAGAGAGGCAGGCAGAGAGAAGGGGAAGCAGGCTCTCCGCCGAGAAGGGAGCCCGATGTGGGGCTCAATCCCAGGACCCTGGGGCCATGACCCGAGCTGAAGGCAGAGGCTTTAACCCACTGAGCCACCCAGGCGCCCCAATATATATATATTTAAAGATTTTTTTACTAGAGAGAGAGAGAGAGAGAGAGAGAGCGCACGACCAGGAGGAGGAGGAAAGGGAGATGTGGGGATCGATCCCAGGACCCTGGGATCATGACCTGCACCAAAGGCAGATGCTTAACTAACTGAGCCACCCAGAGGCCCCTAAATTTTTAACAGAACATTCCAACAATTCAAAAATCCAATGTTAATGGTTTCAGTAGTAATGTTCAAAACACAGAGCACAGGAAGGTCAACAAGTATACTGTAAGAATTTAGAGCTGAGAAAATAGGACAGATTGCCTCTCTGGCTTTTATTTCAAAAACAAAAGTATTTCCAGAATCTCTATTGTGCTTTATTCTTCATCTGAAATGATAACAGGAATAAAGACAGATGCTCTTATCAATTCTAAGCAGGTCATTCTTTGTCTTTGTTTTTTTGTTTTTGTTTTTGTTTTTGTTTTTGTTTTTTAAGGGGAGAAGGGGCAGAGGGAGAGGGAGAGAATCTTTTCTTTTTTAAAGTTTTTATTTATTTATTTGAGAGAGAACACAAAGGGAGAGTGTGAGAGAGAAGCAGACTCCCCGTTGAGCAGAGAGCCCGATGTGGGACTCAATCCCAGGACCCTAAGATCATGACCTGAGCCTAAGACAGACACTTTAACTGACTGAGCCACCCAGGGGCCCAAGACAGATAATCTTAAGCAGGCTCCCCGCCCAGCACAGAGCCCAACTTGGGGCTCAATCTCATGAATCTGAGATCATGACTTGAGCTAAAATTAGGAACTGGACACTTAACAACTGAGCCACCGAAGTACCCATCATTTTTCTTTTTATTATTTATTTATTTTTAAAGATTTTATTTGTCAGAGAGCGAGCGTGAGCGCACACAAGCATAAGCAGGGTGAATGGCAGGCAGAGGGAGAAGCAGGCTCCCTGCTGAACAAGAAGCCTGATGTGGGACTTGATCCCATGATCCTGGGATAATGACCTGAGCTGAAGGCAGATGCTTAACTGAATGAGCCACTCACAGGTCCCAGGGTATCCATTTAATGGCATTTCCATATAGAACACATAAAACTGTCACCACTTGACCTACTTAATGAGAACTCATTTTTTTCTTTAAAAATAAAGAGGAAACTTGTTTTTTAAGAAAGAGCAACCTTGTTAAAGCAAAATAAAGTTTAGTCTTTGCAGAATACCAGTTATAAGAGAAAGAAACTTTAATAAAACAGAATAAAGTAAAAAAAACAAACCAATTACAAGATTCTGTATCATGAAAAGAAGGAATAAATTGTACAGAGGTATAGGAAGCACATACTTCTGGAAAAAAGTTTCTCTAAGGAAAATGCTAGATGGCTAACTGCACTCTCAAAGAAGTTAAGTAAATGATGAATTCATTCAAAGAATAAATAAGACATCTGAAAAGTAAGTAGAGTGTAAGGAAAGAAAAGATAGCACAGAAAAACTGAACTTAGGAGCAGCAGCAGTAGAGAAATGAATTTATACTAGGAAATTAAATGAGTAACACAGATAACAAGATCTAAAAGTTTCTAAAAAAAGTTTCTAATACAGAAACTTCATCTGAGAGACAGACATCAGATATAAACCTATTATGAAAGAGCACACACCACAGTGAATGTAATACATAAGAGGAGAAAACTGGGCTACACTGAAGATCTAAATCTGAACATCAATAGGGTTCACCAATTACTATGTAAAGTTCATGAAAAGTGAACACCTGGTAAAAAATTTTTTAATTTTTAAGTACAAGGAAATAATTTAACAAGCAATTAGGAAGAAAGCAAAGCAAAGCAAAACAAAACAATGTTATTCTACAAGGGAAAAAAAGATATTCCAGTCTGATTCTTCCCCTTGACAAGATGAGATATGAAAGACTATGGAACAACATTTATATACCTTTGAAAGAGAAAAACTATAACCCAACTGTATATACTGCTCTTACAGTTGAGAAGTTGGGTTCGTTACTCATTGTAGCAAGGGAAAACTCACAGTAAGGGGAACCCTGGGGTGTATGAGAAACAAGCTATCATATGTGTATTCCGGATTTGGCCTGGTGAATTGGGGGGAGGATTTAGATTCACTGTAAACTGGGTGCTGTCAGAAAGTTGAGGAATTCTGTGGGTGGGCATCTCAACAGATCTCACCTACAGAGAGGGCAGACTAGAGCAAGAATAAAACTGACACTGAGAAAGAAGTAGTAGTCACTCATTTTTACTAGGAAAGGGACCTGGTCACTATTTCATGGATAGCACAGTGGCCCTGCTTTTGTCTGTCCTTAGATGAAATTATGAAGCACCCTTGTTTTGTTTCCCTTTATCATAGTCTCAGAGTAACCCTACCTGAGGGTGGTGCGCTATGATGCTGTTACGTCGAAAAGGAAATCAACATGGACTAGCTGGGAATGCTGGCACAACTTTTGAATGTTAGGGGCTGCTGCTCCTCCTTTCCCCCGCCCTCAACAAATCTATTATACACCCATTAAAACTGGTCATGTATTAAGCAAATGAAAGATTTTCAGTTGTGCAGAGACTCTGGAAGTATACTATCTACATACGCTCCCTTAAAAATATTTTATTGGAGAAATACTCCAGGCAACCATTGAAGGATGCAGAAGTGCGTAAAGGGCTAAAGATAAGCATTGAAATAACTGAAACACAGAATTAAACCTAAATAGTTATGGGAATTTTTTTTTAAATTTTATTATTTATTTAAATAATATTATTATTTATTTATAATAAATATAATTTATTTATTATTTTATTTATTTAGTTAGTAGTAAACTAGATCTGAAACTTTATTTTTTTAAAAAGGACTGTATTTATTTATTTGAGAGAGAGAGCTAGAAATAGAGAGAGAGCACAAGCAGGGGCAGCTGCTGGCAGAGGGAGAAGTGGGCTCCCTGACCCCAGGATCATGACCCGAGTCAAAGGTAGACGCTTAACCAATTGAGCCAACCAGGCACCCCAATCCAAAACTTTAGGTGTGCAAAACAAACAACACAGAGATATAGGCAGAAACATAAAAACAGATATGATCAGCTATTTCATCATCCACATTGAAATGTACAGGACTAAAATTAATTAGATTTACTGCTTAAAAGTACCACTAACAAATTCAAAACAAGTTATGTAATTTTAATATACATGATAAATAAAAATCAAAGAAAGTGCAGATAATATAGTAAGATAAACAAATAGAACATTTCAAAGAAGCAAAGGAATGCTATACAACATTGCCATTAATTTGGTAGGATAAGTCACAGGTGTCAAATACTAAGAGCATAATTTTAATTAAGAAAGGTACACAGTATAAAAGCAATTCAGGCACTGAAATTCTGCTACATATATGCATGTATGCAGATGTATACATACATGTATATACACATACATGCATATATAATTTTGTCACATACATATTTTGTTACATACATACATACACATTTATACAAACATATGTAACAGAATTTCAATACCTGAATTGCTTTTATACGATGTACTTTTAATTAAAATTATCTTCTTAGTATTTGATTCCTGTGGCTTCTCCTATAAAATAGTAAAGCCGTTGTGTGTGTGTGTGCGTGTCCATTCTCCATCCTACATCTCTAATTCTGTCCCTCTATAATGGAGATAACTGGATGAGTATACAATGAAAATTCCAAAATCATGAATATAATCATGGCCAAAGGCACCTACCCTGAAATAATCACGCAAATAATGGAACAGAACTTTGTCAGAATATCTACTTTAAGATCACAGCATTTTAGAGAAGAATACCATACCTCAAACTGTGTGACAGCAGCATAGCGCACCTCTCCAGAAGGGGTAGTATATTTACTTCTATAAAAACCTTTCATTTTGTCATTCAGCTCTCCAACAAAATCTATCTTTAAGGTTCCCGTACCTGTGATTGAAGATGAATGAAAGCACTTAAATACAGATATTAAGTACAAGTTATCAAAAATATGTCCTTAAGATACTAACTTATATTCAAATCATTTTTTTTCCTTTCTCAAACACTTCTGGCAATGGACAGAATCTAGTATTTACTGAAAAATGGTAAACTATTCCTAAAGTGAACCTTAATATCATGTTTAGGGTGACTGTTTAGAAAATTCTATAACTTTATTAACTTAATCTCTAATCACCCATCCATAAAGATAAAAACAGGAAAGGAAATGAACATTTATTATTAAATTTACGACATGCTACTGTGCATGGAGCCTTAAAAATATTTAGAAACTTGGAAGTAGTATAGTCTCCATTTTTTCAGATGAGGAAACTGAGGCTGAAAATTAAGTAACTTGCTTGATGTCACCTGATTATTAAATAGCAAGAATGAGATAAAAAATTTAGGCCTGTTTAATCCAAAATTCATGTTCTTTGCCAATGATGCCACATAAATTGGTCCATTTAGAGGACTTCATGCCAATTTAAGACAAAAAACCTATCTGTTCAATCCAAATAGAACATTGATTCCATACTTTTGAAAGGAACTATATAGGGAAGATCAATGATTTGGCTGACAAAAAGGCATTAAAAACTCTTACAGTCACCTCAATCATTTGAAATAATATTAAAGAAATACATTTATCCAATAATTACTAAATGCAAATAAAATGCAACATGAATGTATATTCTACTGTTGTATAAGGGCAAAACCAAATTAGACAAAATGGGAGTTTTGTGAATATATATACCTTCTTTCAATAACAGCAAAGAGATGATAATATCTATCAGTCATCTACTAAATTCAGATGCATGACAAAACAATAATCCCCTTCTACATTTCACAAATTAAATCTCCCCAAAAAGCCAACAGAAAAATGTTGACTTTTAATTGATTCTTTTAAAAATGCCTATTTATAACAGGATCTACAGCATGGAAATCTAACAAATCAAAGACACAGTATGACTATAAAGTAATTAGGCAATCATTCCAAAACTTTTATATCCTAATGTTTCAAACTGTCATTTTGGAATGCCATAGAGCAATGACGCTGACATTGTTCAAAATGTTCTTAAGTCCCTCTCTTTCTGACATATCCTTTTGGATGTTCTCAGTCAGATCGCCACCTTCCAAAACAGAACTGACCTTTTTGAAAAGGTCCAAAAGTCATGAAGAGTCCAAGTCTACAGAAAAAGTGAATGACAAACTGCAAACTGTTTCTAGATAAAATGCTGTTGTTTATTAAGTATGTCAATTAAGTAATTAAAACGATTTTCACATGTGCTTCAAACTTGTTCTGAAAGTAACTTCAAGAGAAAATTTCAGGCCTCTGCTGTGAAGTCATCATCACTAAACAAAGCGCCGTATTCTTTTTTTTATTGTGCTCAACCTACGGCCTGAACTCACAACCCCAAGATCGAGAGTTGCATGTTCTGCTGTCTGAGCCAGCCAGACACCCCGAAGTGCCATATTCTTAATGTAATCATGCTGGGGGGAAAAAAATTGAAGCTCATTTGAATAAATGTGTGTGAATCTTATTTTTTAAAAATCAGACCTTCTGTCTAGAGGGGACAATGAATACTCTCTTAAAGAGAATGACAGATTACTGGAACAGTAAGTAAGAATACAGTAAAAGAATGTGAAAGAATTCTTAATGATTGATACTAAAGAATTCAACTATAAAATTTCTCCCTATTTTCTTTAGGAATTCAGTAATCTTTAGAAAAGCAGATATATATACATTAATAAAGTTTACAAGGAATATCTAGTACATTGTAAAAACTCACTGCATTTAAAAAGAAGTATTTGTTGGAATTTTATGTTGCAATTCCATAGATGGAACTGGCCAGTCTGTTTTCACTAGTCAACTAACATGTTAAGATTTCTTTTCTATAACTCATACTCCACGGGTAATCTACTTTTGCCTCTTCCTACTTGGAATAATGGGATTTAAAACTCGTAACTAAATAAGAAAGGCTGCTTACACTTTTACTTGGTTTTAAATCTCCAAGGCCATCAAACCATAACAAGATACTGATAGTGGCCACTTCCAAAAAAGTGGCATACTAAACAAAATACAAAGTATTGGAAAAGGTTATTACCTGAAATTCAAACAAAACACAAGTTAAAGTTTTAAAAAATCATAATAAATGTAACTAGTGTTATATTATACAATTATACTAATTACAAAATATTTTCTAGTAATATAGTAGCGTTATAGGGCAAAAACAGGAGAAAAAAGGCTTAATAAATGTCAACTTATCAAATTTACACCATACTGAAGAACTGATTGCCAGACTGTCTAATCTTATACCTGTTTGCCCACATAATTTACATTGCTTCCTCACATTAGACACCTTATTTCAATATCCATTATACACAATATTTATCTGCTTGGGATGATAAACCTTTTAAAACATATAATAAGCTCATTTATAAATTCAACAACTGGAAAACTGCAACTTCTACCAAAAGCCTTATTTCTTTAAAGCTTAGGAGAGTATAATTGTTGTAAAACCTGAACTAGATCTTGAAAAACTTCAATAAAAATTTAATGAGCCTACTAAATACCAAAAAAAATTAAAGACAGATTAATTTGTATAGAAAGAGTAAATAAAGGTCTCTGCCTTTGTGTCACTGTTTCCTGTGATCCTGTTTTTCACTCTTAGAAATGTCAGTATCACCTATGTTTCTCCAAATAAACACCACTCTGTAGGATCCTTAACAGAAGATTATGAAGTTGTTGTCAGCTTACAATGATCACGATAATTTCACCACTATTCTAGAACATGCCAATTCAGAAAAGAAAATGTTTTGCTTAGCTATGAAATAGCTGGCATGACTGTTAAGTCTGGTGAGGCTAAACACAAAGATTACTAAGGTCCTTTCAATACATGCTCCAGATTTATTCCCTTACCAGAAGACAGAATGCTTGTACAGCTTACCAAAACTTGAAAAAACAAAGGTAATTGTGCTCCAGAGAATAGTGGGAAAATGTAAAAGCTGAAGATTTTCAAGCAGATAGTTACAGATGTTCAATACTCAGTATTAGTCTCAATCTCAAATAGGATAATTTCTTTTTTTTAAATTAAAGATTGTATTTATTTCTTTGACAGAGAGAGACAGTGAGAGAAGGAACACAGGCAGAGGGAGTAGGAGAGGGAGAAGCAGGCTTCCGGCTGAGCAGGGAGCCCAATGTGGGGCTCGATCCCAGGACCCTGGGATCATGAACTGAGCTGAAGGCAGACGCTCAACAACTGAGCCACAGGCACCTCAGATAATGTCATTTTTTAAAAAAGATTCTATTTATTTATTTATTTATTTGAGAGAGCAAATGAACAAGCGAGCATGAGAAAGGGGAGGAGCAGAGGGACAGGGACAAGCAGACTCCATGCTCAGCATGAAGCCCAATTCAGGGCTCCATTTCACAACCCCAATATCATGATCTGCGCAGAAATCAAGAGCCCAACAACTGAGCGACCCAGGTGCCCCTCAAATAAGATAATTTCTAATTCTAATACTTACATCAGTTACTTTTTTATACTGTTGTATTAACTAAAAATCTCCCAAACTCTGCTGAATTCCAGTATACAAAAGGTCATAACCTTCTCTGACCTTAGAAATGACTTCACGATTTACCATGTCTGCTGTAAATAGTCCTCATCAAGAATGACAAAGCTCTTATATACTGATAGCTGACCCTTTTTAAAAAAAAAAAAAAAGACTTATTTATTTATTATTTAGAAAGATTGAGAGAGAGTGGGGGAGGGATACAGGGAGAGAATCCCAAGCAGATCCCCCCATTGAGCATGGAGCCCAAGGTAGGGGTCAATCCCATAACCCTGAGATCACAATGTAAGCTGAAACCAAGAGTCAGATGCTCAACCAACTGTGCCACTCAGGTGCCCCCGACCTCTTTTATTTACACACACACACACATACACACACACACACACACACACACACGTGTAAGGGGGAAAGAAGGGTGCAGAATATGACAGATGGCATGCTAGTTTCTGTGTTCTTAAAACAGTATATGCAGAAATGCTTACAAAACCATCGAATAGTTTTAAAAGGATACATAGGAAACTGGTTGCTTCTAAGAAGAGCTCAGAGAGGAAGAAAGGGCTAGGATGGCAAACACTATTTCCACTGTATGTCATTTGATTTTTAAACCATGTATTGTATTTTTATAATATTTAATTAAAAAATAAAAAGCATAATATGATGGTTTGAAGTATAGACTTTGGATTAAACTGCTTTGGTTTGAAATCCAGACTCTGGCACCTAATACCTATTGACCTTGGGCAAGTTATTAAATTAAACTACCTTTGTACCTTGGTTTATCTATAAAATGCAGGTAACAAACTATCTCAAAAAGGATGAACAAATTAGTATTTATGATACACATAAAACAGTACAGATTAATTGGCACAGATTAAGCAGTCATAGAAACATGCATGTATTATACCTGCACACATTTATACATATGCATGTATAGAGATATGTATACATATATCACACATGCACCTTCTAGGGGTTTCTGTCTGTTCTTACCTGCTCAAGCATTCTAGCAAATGCATTCCAGCTTCTTTTTTTTTTTTTTTTTAAGATTTTATTTATTTATTTGACAGACAGAGATCACAAGTAGGCGGAGAGGCAGGCAGAGAGAGGCGGGGAAGCAGGCTCCCTGCTGAGCAGAGAGCCTGATGTGGGGCTCGATCCCAGGACCCTGAGATCATGACCTGAGCAGAAGGCAGAGGCTTAACCCACTGAGCCACCCAGGTGCCCCTACATTCCAGCTTCTTTTGATAAATCTAATATCTTGAAATTTTGACTTAATAATTTGTCATATTTCCTAATGCTAAACAGATGAATCTACTCTCTACACACACACACACACACAGTTTATGTATACTCTGGGATGATTTCAAAAACCTGCTTTAAAATTTTTTTGCTCCTAGGATGTCTGGGTGCCTCAGTCATTAAGCATCTGCCTTTGGCTCAGGTCATGATCTTAGGGTCCTGGGACTGAGGCCCTGCATCAGGCTCCCTGCACTCCTATTCTACCTCTTTAAATTCACAATTTGGCTAAAAGCACAGAATCAATTCTAGGCTGAAAATCAGATACACAGAATTTTGAAGGAATGGCTTCAGTAGAGTCTAGTTTCCACTGTTCCCTTTGGTTAATCTGCTATTCCTTTTTAAAAAATTCATTCAAATATTGTTGATAGACAGTGTTACATTAGTTTCAGGTATTCAACGTAGTGATCTGACAACTCTATACCCTTTGCTACGCTCACCATAAGTGTAGCTACCACCTGTTACCATACAACGCTATTATGATACCACTATGTTCCTTATGCTGTACCTCTAATCCCTGATTTACTCATTCCGTAATGGGAAGCCTGTACTCCCACTCCCTTTCACCCATTTTATCCCCCCACCCACCTCTCAGTCTACTACTACTGCTATTCTGCTCCCTGAACTTTGAAGGTAATCTGCTAGCCTTCCCTCCTTCCTCCCAACCCCCTGTCCTTGGGAAGAAACTCTTATTAGAGAGCCTCACTTTATTCATTCATTCAAGAGCAAGTACGAGCAGGGGTAGGGGTAGAGGGAGAAGAAGTGAGAGAATCCCAAGCAGACTCTGCACTGAGTGTGGAGCCTGACTCCACTAGGCTCAATCCCCACAACCCTGAGATCATGACCTGAGATAAAATTAAGAGTCAGATGCTTAACTGACTGAGCCACCCAGGTGCCTCTTGAGAGCCTCACTTTTATCCCCGGAAGTTCTAAAATTTGTATGGGAGTTTTTACATTTATTGAGTTAGCCCTTCTCAGTGGTATACCTTTTCTTGTTTTCTTTCTTTTTCTTCTTCTTTTTTTAGTGGTGTATCTTTTCAAACTGAAGTTCCCAATCACCTCAGAAATCACCTCAAGAAAATGTTCTTCTTTTGGATCTTTAATAACTTTCTCTTCTCATTTTCTCTGTCCTCTCTTTTACTAGATGGATGTTGGCTCTGCTAGACTGGTCCTCAAATTTTCCTACCATGTGTAAGATTCCTCTATTTCATCTTCAAAAACTCCTATCAGCTTTTTCATTACTGTTGTATTATAATTTCTGGAAGTTTTCTTGCTCTAATTCTTTCTGTTTGATAGTGATCTGTCCTGTTCTTTTTATTTGGTTTTTTTTTTTTTTTTTTTTTTTTTTAAGAGAGAGAGAGTGGACAAATGGTAGGGGGAGGAGCAGAGGGCAAGAGAGACAATCTTAAGGATGGAGACCATGCTCCCTCTCATGACCTTGTTATCATGACCTGAGCAGAAATCAAGAGTTGGACGCTTAACCAACTTGTTATTGTTTAATGAATGTGATATTAACAGTATTTCTAAGGGTATTAATTTGTTTTATGTGGGGTTTTTTTTGAGACTTTCTATTCCTTTTTGAGACTTTCTTTTCCTTTGTCTTTGCTTTTAACAAGTTCCTATATTTCTATTATTGTTAGGCTTTTTACTCTAGTTTTCATAGTAGAAGTTTAATCAAATCTCTGGTAATTGTTGCCACAGTGACTTTGGGCTTGGCCATGCTATCTGCTTTGGCCAATGAAATGTGCACGGACATCAAGTATACCACCATCCATGCAGAAGCCTGAAATGTATCTGTGTGGTTTGTCTCTGTTCCCATCCCTGAGCTTTTGCCCTCTGCCATGGAGAGAACAGCATGCTGCAGATAGTAGCTGCTCACTACCGGTCCTGGAATGAGAAGAGCTGTGAGCTGAGCAGAGCTCTTAAGCAAAGGTGGAGACAGGCTGCAGGAGTCCTCAGGGCCAGGTGTGAGCAGGAAATATTTGTTGTAATCCACTGAGATTTGCGATCCCACTCGTGGATTAAAATTATGTGTATACTGGGGCGCCTGGGTGGCTCAGTGGGTTAAAGCCTCTGCCTTCAGCTCAGGTCATGATCCCAGGGTCCTGGGATCAAGCCCTGCGTCAGGCTCTCCACTCAGCGGGGAGCCTGCTTCCTCCTCTCTCTCTGCCTACTTGTGATTTCCATCTGTCAAATAAATAAGAAATCTTTTAAAAAAATTATGTGTATACTTATATATACACACAAGATATTTCTGGATATATTCACAAAACAATGGAAGTGGAAGATGTAAAAAAAAACAGAAATCTTAATTTTTATGTTATATTCTTTGGTATCTTTTAATACATGTTCATGGCAAAACATTTATTTTTATAATAATTTCATCCAAGAAATCCTAGTTAGAAAAAGGCAAAATGTAAGAGCACTGAACCAAAAAATAAAACTCCAATTTAAAATTTTTCTAAAGATCCTATTAAGGCAATATATTACCAGTATAGAAATTATGGAAACTAAAAAATGTATAAATAAGAATAAAAACCATCAATTATGTCAAAAACCAGACGTATCATTTTATTTGCATCATTTTAGAGATATGATTCATCACCCTGTATATGTAATTTTGTATTCTGTTTTTCAATTTTACATTATAATAAGCACTTCACAATGTTAAGAATTCATTAAGCTCACTTTTAGTTGCTATATATATGCCACCATACTGATGTCATAATTACTCCCTCAGTGCTGAACAAATACATTCATTCTAATTTTTTACTACCTTAAGTAATGTCTCAATAGACATTTCTAGGCATAAAGCATTTCTTGCATTTATGATTTTTCTTTAGGATATATTCCTATTATCAGAATTGCTGGGTCAAAACCATGAATATGTTTAGGCTTTTTTTTTTTTTTTAAGATTTTATTTATTCATTTGACAGAGAGAGAGAGATCACAAGTAGGCAGAGAGGCAGGCAGAAGCAGGCTCCCTGCTGAGCAGAGAGCCTGATGTAGGGCTCGATCCCAGGACCCTGAGATCATGACCCAAGACGAAAAAAGAGGCCTAACCCACTAAGCCACCCAGGTGCCCTTGTTTAGGCTTCTGATACATAATGCCAGACTGCCTTCCAAGTACACTGCATGGATTTACAGTCCCACCAGTACTATCAAGGTAGTCACTGATACAAAACAGGCAAAAACTGATGTATCAGTAACTGCTGTTTTCATATTTCTCATTATGAGAGAGCCAAATATCTTGTCACATGTTTTAGTCATTTGCATTTTTTTCATACAAATTCCCTCTTACTTTTTAACTTTTTATTTTAATTCCAATTAGTTAACACATGGTTTTGTATTAGTTTCTGGTGTACTATATAGTGATTCAACACTTTCATACATCATCTGGTGCTCATCATGACAAATGCACTCCACTTGTTGCTTTTCAATTGATCATTAATCAAAGTCTTAGTGCTTTACCAACTGATTTGTATATAATTTCTTACACTATATTAAGCTCAGAAAGTCTTCCTTTTTCCTTTGTGCTTTTTTTTATTTTTTTTTTAAAGATTTTATTTATTTATTTGACAGACAGAGATCACAAGTAGGCAGAGAGGCAGACAGAGAGAGAGGAGGAAGCAGGCTCCCCGCTGAGCAGAGAGCCCGATGTGGGGCTCGATCCCAGGACCCTGGGATCATGACCTGAGCCGAAGGCAGCGGCTTAACCCACTGAGCCACCCAGGCGCCCCTCCTTTGTGCTTTTTATACCTAATAACAGAATCTGGATTATGATGATGATGATTTTTTAAGGAGGTGCCACACCCAGTGTGGAGCCCAGGGCCAGGCTTAAAAACTCACGATCCTGAGATCAAGACCTGAGCAGAGATGAAGAGTGAACAAAACCAACTGAGCCAACCCAGGCACCCCTACCTAATAATAGTGTTTTATCAACAAATCTTTCCTTCCATGCCCTCACTATACTTTTCTACATCAAAATCAACTGTGGGACATTCATCTCAGAGATGAGGCCTCAATTACTGGAAGACAGAGCTGTGTAACTGTATTTTTAGAAAGGTGAGACTGAAAAGGTAAAAAACAATGCATTATGTTCTAGGGTAGAATGATCATTAGTTTTGGTCTTTCTTCCTGGTGGCCCAAAAGCTGCAATGAACCTCTTTCAAAAGCTCTGTCTTAATATTTAATCTGCTTAAATTGAGGAAAAAAAGGTATACAACAAATTTCTTTGGAAGAAATAAGGTGTCACTATTCATCAGGGGATTTTACAAAAGCCACAACTCTTACCTGTTTGGAGAGTACTAGGAAAAGACAAGGTGACTTTTTCATCTTCATTCTGATAGTTAAATCCTGTAGCATGTATTTCTGGAACAGAAATTAAAAACAAAAAAAAATTAGTTCAAAAATCTGACTGGACTAAAACAAAATCCAGACTATAGCAATTAATATTTTTCAGGGCAAAATCTCTACTAAAACTAAATATTCCTTTTTTTTTTTCTTAAGATTTTATTTATTTATTTGATAAAGGGAGAGGGAGGGAGAGAGTACAAGCAGGGGGAATAGCAGAGGGAGAGAGAGAGAAGAGGCTCTCCACTGAGCAGGAGTCCAATGCAGGGCTCCATCCCAGGACCTTGGGATCACGACCTGAGCCAAAGGCAGACACTTAACTGACTGAGACACCCAAGCATCCCCCACACTTTTTTCAAGTAAGCTCCAAGTCCAACATGGGGCTTCAACTCAAGACCCTGAGATCAAGAGTCACATGCTCTACCAACTAAGCCAGCTAGGTGCCCCTAAAACTAAATATTCTTAATTGAACAAATTAAGTTTCTATTAACAAAAGTGTCATTTCAAACCAACCTGTTTTAGTCCACATCCTAAATTAAATGTGCTCCTGAAACACATTTATATGTGCTGTTATTAATTCACAAAACTTTTTTTTCCCATAAAACTTCTATGATACAAGGGAAATAGGGCTACTATAAATTTTCTACCAGATTCCCAGACATGCTTCATTCCTATCTTTTTTGCTTTCTAAGTTGCAGTTTTACTCATGAACACTTGAAAGACTGAGCAAATTGCCGAGATTTCAGTGTTAAAGCTGTATCAATGAAAGTTCTGTTCCCCAACTAAAGACAGGTAACAATTCCAACTAAAATACAGATCATCCTTATTTCCAATAAAATTCATTGTTACATTTTACAGAAATAAAGGTGAAAACAGATGTGTGGGTTAAATTAGGCTTCAATTTACTTTCTAGTAGGAGTGAGAAGACATTGCTTATTTGATACTTCAGAAAGCTCAGCATACACTTCAGGGAAAGAGCTAGCCTTAATACGCAAATGAGTAGATGCTCAACATCCTGAACCATCAGCGAAATGGAAATCAAACCACAAGGAGACACCACTTCATACCCACTTAGATGACTACAATCAGAAAGACAGATAATGCTAAGTGTAAGGGAGGATGTAAAGACATTGGAACCCTCATACATGGCTGGTAGGAGTGTAGAGGCTGGTAGGAATGCTGAATGGTACAGCCACTTAGGAAAACAGCCCAGGAAGTTCCTCAAATGATTATTAAATGGACTTATCAGAGGGTCCAGAAATCCCACTCTTAGTGGGGATATATAAATCCAAGAGAAATAAAAATGTATGTCAAAAACTTATACACAGATGTTCATAGGAGCATTATTCATAATAGCCAAAAAGTGGAAACAACCCAAATGTCCATCAAATGATGAACAGATAAAATGTGGTATACAATGGAATACTGCTTGACAAAGAAAAGGAATACCAAGTGTTGATATATACTACAATATGGATAAACCTTGAAAATATATCAAGTGAAAGAAACCAGACAAAAAGGGCCACATATTTATCAGATATGTTCAGAATAGGCAAATCTATAAGACAGAAAGTATATTAGTGGTTGCTTAGGGCTGGAAGTTTGAGGTGAAAGGTATTTTCTTTATGGGGTAATGAAAATGATAAAAAGTGATCCTGCGGGGCGCCTGGGTGGCTCAGTGGGTTAAAGCCTCTGCCTTCAGCTCAGGTCATGATCCCAGGGTCCTGGGATCAAGCCCCACATCAGGCTCTCTGCTCAACAGGGAGCCTGCTTCCCCCTCTCTCTGCCTACCTCTCTGCCTACTTGTGATCTCTGTCAAATAAATAAATAAAATCTTAAAAAAACAAAAACAAAAACAAAAAAACTGATCCTGGTGATGGCTACACAACTCTGTGAATATACTAGAAACCACTGAATTGTACACTTATTTTTTTTTTTTTAAGATTTGAGAGAGAGAGAGAGAGACAAATAGCGCATGAGCACATGCACACATGCAGTGAGAGAGGGAGAGAATCTCAAGCAGACTCCAGGCTAAGCATAGAGCCCAACTTGGGGCTCTGTCTCACAACCCTGACATCATGACCTGAGCCAAAACCAAGAGTCAGACACTAACTAACAGAGACATCCAGATGCCCTGATTTGTACACTTTTTAAAAAAAAATTTATTTATTCATTTGAGAGAGAGAGTACAAGCACGACTGGGGAGGGGCAGAGGGGAAGTAGACTCCCTGCTGAATAGGGAACCCAACAGGAGGCTCAATCCCAGGACCCTGAGATCATGATCTGAGCCAAAGGCAGACATTTAACCAACTGAGCCACCCAGGTGACCCCTGAACTGTATACTTCAAATGAGTGAATTTTATGGTATGTGAATTATATCTCAATGAAACTATTAAGAGAGAAAGGTAGCTTTATTAGTCATGGACTTAAATTTGATATGGGTAACAGTGATTCAGATTTAATAACATTCTATGAGCCATGCAAGATGCCCACAATTCATTTCTTTTTATGAATCACCCTAAGATTGAATTTTCAATGTTTCTAATACAATTATGGTTCAAAGATCTTTATAAACCTAAATCTTTATAAAACCAATAAGAAACTATAATTTCAGATTTTAAAAGAACTTTAATAAATTATTCCTCATTTTACAAATGAAAAAAATGAGATATCCAAAGTTAATGATTTGCCTAAATTCACACAGCTGGACTAGAATTCAGTTCCCTTCCTATTCCAAAATTCTTTCTACTATCATAAACTAGCTCCTATAAATTTGAAAAGAAACTCATAACTTGGCATATATAGAACACTGGTGAAATCACAATTGAAACAATGACTTTTACTGGCAAAAACTCAAGATTTGCTTTAACTTGATTCCCATATAGAATCATACTTAAGCCTAGGGGCACTTGGGTGGCTCAGTGGTTAAAACCTCTGCCTTCAGCTCAGGTCATGATCTCAGGGTCCTGGGATCGAGTCCCACATCGGGCTCTCTGCTCAGTGGGGAGCCTGCCTCCTCCTCCTCTCTCTCTCTGCCTGCCTCTCTGCCTACTTGTGATCTGTCTGTCAAATAAAAAAAAAAAAAATCTTTAAAGAATCATACTTAAGCCTACAGGGAAGCTAAGAATCACCTTAATGAGTAAGAATGTACTTTTCTGACAAAGATATAAAATAGCATTATGGTCTATGATCAAAGACTATCTCCATAAAGGATTATTAAAACTAACTTGTTTTTATAAATGCACAAAAAGTCCTCAAGTTGGTAATGAAGATAAAAAGCCAAATGAATAGCAATTTTTACTTTTTTATTTTTATTATTTATTTGAAAAAGTGAGAGAGAGCACACAGAATGAGAGGGAGAGAGAGAGAAGCAGACTCCCCACTGAGAGAAAGCCCAATGCAGGACTCAATCCCAGATCATGACCTGAGCAGAAGGCAGATGCTTAACCAACTGAGCCACCCAGGAGCCCCTATTGTTATTTTATTTTATTTTTTAAGTAGGTTCCATGCCCAATGTGGAGCTTGAACTCATGACCCTGAGATCTAGAGTCACATGTGGGGTACCTGGGTGGCTCAGTCTGTTAAGCATCTGACTCCTGATTTTGGCTCAGGTCATGATCTCAGGGTTCTGAGATCGAGCCCTGCCTCGAGCTTCATATTCAGCACAGACTACCCAGGATTCTCTCTCTCCCTCTCCTCCTGCTCATGCTCACGTGTGCTCTAAATAAATATATAAATAAAATCTTTAAAAAATAAAACAAAACAAACACCTCACATGCTCCACCAACTGAGTGAGCCAGGTGCCTCAAGAATAGCAGTTTTTTTTAAATATAATTTTTATTTTATTTTATTTTTTTATTTGAGAGAGACAGAGAGAATGAGAGAGAGAGAGCATGAGAGGGGAAAGGCCAGAGGGAGAAGCAGACTCCCCCGTGAGCAGGGATCCTGATGCGGGACTCGATCCTGGGACTCCAGGATCAGGACCTGAGCTGAAGGCAGTCACGTAACCAACTGAGCCACCCAGGAGCCCCATGAGAATAGCAGTTTTTAAATTTAAACAATCAAGTATTGTTATTGCTAGATTCCATTCTAGCACATGATTCCAAATATGCAGATCAACTCTATTACATGTATATAAAAAAAGAGTAAAATTTCCTCTAAAATTCTCTCTTAGAAAAGAGGGTAGTAATCATATATTTCTTTGTTTCTTTTTTTTTTTTTAAATTTGAGATAGAGAGACAGCATGAGTGCACACCTGAGCAGGGAGAGGGACAGAGGGGGAGGAAGAGGATCAAGCTGATTCTGGACTAAGCACAGAGCCTGTCTTAGGGCTTGATCCCATGACCAGGAGATCACAACCTGAGCCAAAACCAAGAGTCAGATACTTAATCAACTGAGCCACTCAGGTGCCCCATAATCATATATTTGAATTTCTTAAGTTTCTTGTATTATAGGACACCCTTCCAATTACTTTATTAAAAAAAATTTTTTTTTCCAATTACTTCATGTTGAACAACATACTACTGGACAAACATACATTAGATTTTAAAATAACCTTGGTCAATTGTAGCTTCGGATATTCTGTAAATGGCACAAACCAGAAATACAGAATTTCTCAAACAAGAAATACAGAATCATCCTAACTGCTTCCCTCCATGACTGTCTCTCATAACACATTCCAAATCAGCAAATTCAGTAGCCTATATCTTTAACTCCAGATTTTTCAATGCCCCCATCACTACAACCCCAGTCGAATGTACCACTATTTCTTTCTAGATCACTATAGTAGCCTCTTAACTATTCTGTTTCTGCTCTTGCTGCTTTATAATCTATTCTTCACACAGCAGCCAGGGTAATCTGTTAGATCAAAGACTTTAATGAAGTCCCAAAATATTCAGAATGAAAAGCCAGGTCTCCTTGAGGTTGGTAAATATTTTAGAGAGGACCAAAGGATTTCATTAATAGTTACAACTTGTGATTAGGGGCACCTGGCTGACTCAGTTGTTCAGCGGCTGCCT